CTTGGAAATAGGCAGTCAATTTTCTTCCACTGTGGAGAATCGGTACGGATGACGAAGCAATCCATCACGTTTTTGTGCGGTTGAATGCCATATCATATTCTTGGCATCTTCTCCATTGGCAAACAATCGCTTCAATCTTGGAATAATTGGAAGATACCATATAACTTTTGCAGGAGGTCTCTTTCTATCAATACATTCGCTATTATCATCCTTGTCTTTCAATTTGTAACGCGATACACCACATGTTGGACACTCATGTAGGCTTTCAAACTCTTTTCCGTATAATACACAATCATTAGGGCAAGCATGTATCTTTTTATACTGTAAACCCATTGGACAAAGTATTTTTTTGGCTTCATACATACAATCAGGCAAGGTGTTATCGCTTGGGAGCATATCTTTCAAAACTTCTAGTAACTCGGTGAAACTTTTATCACTCCAACCAAATTTGGCCTTCAAATTGACCAATCTCAATACAGCTGACAATCGCGTGAATGTTGTACATCCGACATACGAGAGGTATCTCCGAATCTATCTTCAATTTATCATAGACAAGAAGCATGTGCTTGCGAGAAAATTCTCTTGACCTACATCACGAATCATGTCTTCTATTCGATCTTCCATTGTCATATCCTCCTCTTCCTCAGCCTTGTGTTACTATTGGTGTATCAATCACTTCACCATGCCATGTCCATAGGATATAATTCTTCATTATCCCATCACATAAAAGATGTTCCCGTATTGTCTCTAGTGTGTGTACTCTCCCATTAACGCAGTTAACGCATGGACAATACAATTTTCCATTAACCTTGGTGCCATTGTGTTCGGCAAATCGCAAAAATTCTTCAACTCCATTCTCATACTCTTGTGAAATACGACTTGTATTTACCCAACTTCGATCCATTTTGGAATTGGAGTCTACAAATGAGAAACCCATAAAACGATTATTACTAATAATCGTTATCTCTAATGAAATTTATACCAAAGTAGATTAATTTGTAACGAAATTTCAACAGTAATTTCGTCCATTTTTTGGTCAAAACCAAATTTGTATAAATTAAAATTATAGAGTTTTCATTGTTACTACCATCACTTATATAACTACATTGTTATATGTAGTTTTCAGAATTCACACTTCATGATTAATTTCTAACAAAAATCCGATAGAGTTTCCTTTGTTTTTTGGCAACAATTTTAAATGACACAGTGAAACCCGACAATAAAAAGCCCCACGGCATATTCAAGCAGTTCAAGTATAATTGTACACATCATCAATACATTGAAAAAAACTATAATATGACTAAGAATTGAATCAACAGTTAACGACAAATGACTAACAATCTCTACCTATGAAATGTAGTAAGTAAAATTGTATGACTTTGCCCAACAAATATAAGTGCAACAACATCGTACTCGTGGTTTAAGGCAGCGATGAAGGTTCGCACCACGGAGAAACGAGCAGACTGCTGCACCGGGGTGGAGGTGGAGGATGCAATGCGGCGTTAGGGTCGAGGCTGTGGTGAGCGGACAATGCAATGTGGTTGGAGGCTGCAATGCAATGCAATGGGGTGGTGGCGTTAGGATGCAATGCAATGTGGGTGGAGGCTGCTAGGGTCGTGGTGGGCGACTAGCGTCGCGGTGGAGGGTGGCGACTAGCGTCGCGGTGGAGGGTGGCGACTAGCGTCGCGGTGGGCGACTAGCGTCGCGGTGGGGTGGAAGCTGCAGTGGGGTGGAGGTGCTGCGGCGGGGGTGTCACGCGGTGCGCGGTGGCGACGTGAGGGAGGGCATCCGGAGAGTCCAAATCACGGTGGTAGGTGGTGGTCGCGATGCTGGAGAGTAAGGGGAGTGGGCGCGATGTTGGAGAGTAAGGGGAGATACAAAAATGGTAGCCTATTAATGGAAAAACGGGGTTTTGACGTCGGTTATACCCACACCCGACGTTGAAACTCGTTTTATCTCCAGTCATATATTTCAATCGATTGAAACGAGATTTAATCGATTAAAATAGTTCTGATCGGTCATAACTGGATTCTGATCGATCATCCTGACCCTGTAAGAGATTTTAATCGATTGAAACGTGTTTTTAATCGATTGAAAAACTTTTGATCTGATCGCTCATAATTAAAATCTGATCGATCACATTTGATTCTGATCGGTCATATTTGTAATCTGATCGGTCATAATGAGTTCAGAAGGGTTTTCAACGTCGGGTTAGGGCATAACCGACGTTGAAAGCCTACTTGACGTAGAATCCTGACACTTTAAGAGATTTTAATCGATTGAAACGTGTTTTTAATCGATTGAAAAACTTCTGATCGCTCATAATTAGAATCTGATCGATCACATTTGATTCTGATCGGTCATATTTGTAATCTGATCGGTCATAATGAGTTCAGAAGGGTTTTCAACGTCGGGTTAGGGCATAACCGACGTTGAAAGCCTACTTGACCTAGAATCCGACACTTTAAGAGATTTTAATCGATTGAAACGTGTTTTTAATCGATTGAAAAACTTCGATCGCTCATAATTAAAATCTGATCGATCACATTTGATTCTGATCGGTCATATTTGTATTCTGATCGGTCATAATGAGTTCGAAGGGTTTTCAACGTCGGGTTAGGGTATAACCGACGTTGAAAGCCTACTTTCCACGTCGTGCATGCTAAAACGACGTAGAATGTGTCAAAATTCGACTTTCGACGTTGGTTTTTGACCAACCGACGTTGAAAGCATGTTCAACGTCGGCTAAGATGTAACCGACGTTAAACGGCGACGTTGAAAGTATATTTTCTAGTAGTGTATCAATGGTGTAGTTTTAAATTAAAATTATTGATTTGAATAATTTTTTTAAAAATGACCTAAATGAGAAAAGCATGCTTCATAATATTTCTAACCGTTTTTATTTTTGTCTTTTTTTTTTATATATATCACAACTTCACTTCATTATATATATATATATATATATATATATATATATATATATATATAATTATTTATATTCTTTATTATTAATAAATAAAATAATTAATAATTAATATTTATTATAAATATTATTATTATTATTATCATTAATTAGTTATAATAATATTAATAACTATTGTAAAAAACAAATATAATAATAAGTATTAATTATTTTATTTTTATTTTTATTTTTAAGGTTATTTTTATTTTTATTATTAACATCATTATTAATTTTAAATTTTTTTATTAAATTTATCATAATTATTTTCTGTTAATGATAAATTTCAAAATAATAATTACATTAAAATAAAAAAAATCATTAAATAATAATAATTATTAACTAAAAAATTAAAATTAAAAAATAAAAGAAATTATTAACTAAAAATGTTTATTAATACTTATTATTATTATTATATGTCCAAATCCATTAAAGAAATTACTTTTAGTTAATTTGTTATTAATTATCTTTATTCTATTATAATATCTTATAATATATATTATTTTATGGGCTAATAGTTATTATATTTGAACTACCGTACAAGTTCAGCTCCGTGTTCAAACTGCTCCCTTTCGAAAGAGCCTCTCGTATAAGCTTTGTTCACATGTGCTCAAATAAATGAAATCCACGAAGAAGACAATGACCACTCATCATTCGGGAATCATGGAAATGTCCCTCCCATCTAATTGTGAGCCTCTGGACATAGAAAAATACAACAGAATGACAAATTTCAAAGAGCACTTAACAATGTACAAGGCCTAGGTTAACTTGTACACCAACAACAGTGTCATTCTCTATCGAGTTTTACCTACCACATTGAGAGGATCAACCTTATGATGGTACAATTCTTTACCATGTAACTCCATAGATTCATATTATACATTGGTAGAGCGATTCTGAGTGAGATTCACAGCCAGTAATATGCACGATGCCATGTTAGTAGCCTTGGAAGGTGTGAAACAGGGCTTTGCTTATCCACCTAGGTCCTTAATGACCTACGTGTCGAGCAACCAATTATATCCGAATGGAAGATAACAATGCCTAATACAAGAAAAGACATAACGACTCTCCAACACATTCTACACGACCTTACAAGAAACCGAGAACCATTAAGTATGAGTGATATACGTCTCTAAACACCAATTGACAAGTGATCCTACAAGAAGCATATAGTTTGGCAATCGTATATGCCCCTCCACATCTACGAACACCAACCTATACGGACACAACTAAGTACTTCCGATTTCATCAAAATTATGGACATACCACGAACTCATCAGATCACTACTCGATTTTGTCGGAGAACGCGTACACATCAAGGGATATATGGACCTAATCACCACGTTTGGATCATCGGACCATAGCAAACGAGTCATGGTTCAATACATACTCATTAAAACAGAAACGTCTTACAATAGGAAGATTAACACTAAATCATCTCGGAGTTGTACAAATCATGTCTGAAAGACTTCTATCCCTTGTCGAATATAGATCGGCTGATTGACAACATATCAGATTATCAATTGCTTAGCTTCCTATATGCATATTCAGGATATAATAAGATTAGAATGTTCCCACTATATGGAGACAAAATGGCCTTCATGACGGATGAAGCTAACTATTACCGAGTTATGCCATTTGGCTTAAAAAACACAAGCGCGATATATCAACTTTTGATGGACATGATCTTCAGGACCCTCATCGGTCACTGCATGGAAGTTTATGTGGATGATATGGTAGTCAAATCCACCAGTGTTGCTGATCATCTCCTACATTTAGAACATGTTTTTAAAGAAATAAAGCGACACAATATGAGATTGAATCCTGCAAAATGCGTCTTCGCCATCGAATGTGGCAAGTTCCTAGGGTTTATGATTACCAAAGGGGGCATTGAAGCAAACCCAAACAAATGTAAAACCCTTATATAAACACTAAGTCCAAGGAATGTCAAAGATGTCCAATACTTAAATGGCTGACTAGCAGCACTAGCCCGACTTTTGCCTAAATTGGCTAAGAAGACTAAACCATTTTGTAAGCTACTTCATTCTGCAGAAATGTTTGAATGGACGTTGAAATGCAAAATCATGTTCCACCGTATCAATGAAGATTTAGCCTCCTTATATATTCTCATTAGCCCACAAGAAGGAACCACTTCATTGTTATACTTGGCCGCAACTAAATCGACCATCAGCACCGTCCTCATAGTAGAAAGGAACAAAATGCAACATCTCATTTACTTCACCAGTAGGACACTTTAGCCATCCGAAAAAAGGTACCAAATCATTGAAAAAATGGTATTAACTTTCATCCATTCTGCTCGTCGACTACGACCCTATTTTCAGGGATTCCCTATCGTAGTAAAAACCAATTACCCAATCAAGCAAATACTACAACGACCCGAACTTGTGGGTCGCATGACCAAATGGTCTATTGAATTGTCCAAGTTTGGACTCACATACGAAAGTATAGCACCGATGAAAGCTCAGTTCCTTGCTGACTTCTTGGTTGAATTACCAGCAATGGGTGAGCAACACGAGGTTTGAACTCTCAGTATCGATGACTTTTCCAACAAAAAAAGGAGTGGAGCTGGAATAATTTTGGAAGGACCTAATGATGTAATCATTGAATAAGCGGTAAGATTTGATTTTGAGGTTTCGAACAACCAGACCGAGTACGAAGCACTACTATTCAGGTTATCTTTAACAAAAGAGATGAGATTCAAACAGGTCCAATGTCGAAGTGATTCTCAAATTGTGACCAACCAGATAAACGACGAATATTAGGTAAAAAAACTCATCCTACAAAAATACCATTATATCGCTAAAAACATCATAAAGACATTTGATAAATTCGTCATACAACATGTGCCACACAAATAGAATGGTAGAGCAGACGTCTTATCAAAAGTGGCCAGTACCAAGAAACCGGGACAACACTGGACTCTCATTCTAAAAACATTATCGTGCCCGAGTTGGGATAATGCTGAAGTCTTCCAAGTCCACACCGAACAACCCACGTGGATGACTCCCATAAAAAAAGTATATAGTCCATGATATACTACCAGACAACCCGGACGGAGCGAAAAAGATAAGAAGAATAGTCTCTCTATATACCATATATTATGGAGACCTTTATAAAAAGGTTATATCCACTTCTCTTTTGAAATGTTTAGACGACAAACAAGTTCACTATACCATAATTGAGATTCATAAAGGAATTTGTGGCCTTCACTCAAGTGCAAAAAACATGGCAGCACGAATAGTCCAAGCTGGGTATTACTGGCCCACAATAAGACATGACGCCAATAACTTTGTAAAGAAGTGCAAACAATGCCAACAATTCACTCCAATATTCTTTTTACCTCTAGAAGAATTGCATAACATAGTCGCCCTATGACCCTTTGTCATTTGGGGAATGGACATAATCAGAATTTTCCCGATTGCTCGAGCACAAATGAAATTTCTCATAGTAGCCATAGACTACTTCACCAAATGGATCGAAGTGGAACCTGTGGCCATAATAACAACCCAATAAGTACAAAAATTCGTTTAGAAAATATCATTTGTCAACATAATCTTCCACAAGCACTTATCATTAATAACGAAAGACAATTTGTAGATAAAAACTTAGAGCAGTTTTTCAACCAGCTCGGTATACAACATAGAGTATCATCTGTCGAACACCACTACTAGAAAAATGGTTAATAGTGACCGAAAAATTCAGTCACTGATAGTAACTGAATCAGTGACTGATTTTCCTTTTTATATTTAGTGACTAAAATTTCAGTCACGGAAATCGGTCACTGATTCGGTCACTACTAGAAAAATGGTTAATAGTGACCGAAATTAGTGACCAAAAAATTCATTTACTAATAGTAACTAAATTAGTGATTGATCTTTTTTTATATTTAGTAATTGATATAGTGACTAAAATTTAAGTCACTAAACAAATAATCTCTAAATTGGTGACTACTTTTCATTTATATAATTATTTTTTAAAATATTTTAATAATATATTAAATATAAATCTACTTAATAATTTAAAATAATTGATAAAAATTTTAATAACATTATAAAAATAGTTTACTAACTTATTAAATAATTTAATAATATAATTATTTGTATTTACCCAAACTGAATTATGTGAATAAAAAAATTAAAATTAATTATTAAATTAGTCATTAAATTAATTATTAATTTAGTCTCTTTATTTATATATATATATATATATATATATATTATTTGTATGTTAATAAAAATGTATTTCAATATATTTATAAAAAAATTAAAATTATTTTAATTTCTGAATTGATATTTCAAATTTATATTAATATCTTGGATAATTTAATAATTGGATAAATATTTTAAGTTTATATTAGTCATTTTTATATAAAGTGTAAAAATTAAGTGAACTTATTTAAAAATTTTAAAAGTTAATTAAACATAATAATATAATATAGTATTATGTGAAGATTTAATTAGAAATTAATTTTAAGTTTTATTGTTTTTATTTGAAAAAAATCTTTAAAAAAATTTAAAATAATTAATTAAAGTAAAGAATTTTAGTTTAATAATTGTGTTAATATTATCAGTTATTGAAAAATTATTTTTATATTAATAATTATATAAAATAATAGAATTATTAAAATTTAAATTATTAGTAATTTTTTAATTATTAAGCTAAAATTTGATAATATTAATAAATAAAAAATAAATAAATTTATATATATATATATATATATATATATATATATATATATATATATATTTTGGGCTTTATTCCATGACAATAATTTAGTTGCCCTAATTTTTGTTTAACCTAAAAATCTCATTTTTCACCTCACCACCAATCAAATTCTCTCAAATCATCACATCATTGAATCATTGTACCTCGATTCTTCATTGTCCAACCACTCAAGTATGTCCACTGCACCACCTTGTCATACTCGAAGTCATTTATCTCACCCTAACTCACCGTCACCAACGTTACCATCGCACCATCCACCATTCTTCTTTTTTTGTCATTGCTCCTCCGCACCCTAAACTCCTAACACCCACCCCATTTTCAGTTAACCCATTCTCCCACTGTGAGTACCCAATTTCGTTTGGGTAGATACAAATAAGATAATGATAATGAATAATAACATTTATTCTTAAAATATGAAAAAAGAAGGGTTAAAAAATTAAAAAAATAATGATTTTATTTTTCCTAATTAAAAGAAGAAGAAGAAAAATATATGATTGAACAAAATATAATTTCTCCTGCAACATTTTTACACCTAAAAAAAGAAAAAAATAATAAAATTTTCTTTTATTAATTATTTTTATAAAATATATATATATATATATATATATATATATATAATAATTACTTTTATAAAAAAAAAAAAAAAGAGTTTGTAAGTTCGAGAATGAACTAATTTTAACCTAAATTTTGGGGATCACCTTCATTTTCCCCTTCACTCACGCGTCTCACCGTTCCCCTAGAGATCCCTGCTTCCATTCTTCCTCAACCCCTCTTTTTCCCCGCGTAGCAGCCCCCACTATCCCTACACCTTCACTCTGCCTTTTCCCTTTCAGCCTTATCGCACCACCCGCACCTTGCCAATCACCTCCGACCACGGCCAGCACCACTCCAACTCCTTTCACTGGAGCCCGTGCAGCCCCTATTCAACTTCAGCTGCAACTCCTCCACTGCGACTCGCAACACCACCAAACGACCACCACGAGCCCCCCACAATTGCTCCCCCAAATCGCTAGGCCACCACCACGACCATCCTCATCTCCAGCCTCTCTAATCTTTCCCACCACAAATCACCACCGCTGCTCCATCTCACCGTAGCTAACCGCCACCACCGCACCAGCCCTAGCCACTTACACGACTGCCTTCATCCCTAAAATCCTTTCTCATTCCCCTCCGCTGCCACCTCAACCGCGCCACTGCGAACCATACCTCGGCAACCCCACAGCGAACGCAATCTGCACCCCTAGTCGCACCTCTCTGTGACCCACCTTTCCATTCATGTCGCGACTGTCGTGGGTGGCATCCTTGGAACAGTGTCGAGTCCTTTCCTCAAAGCAGAAGTCGTGGGCCAACCTCCCTGTAGAGGTTGAACTCGAGGATCGGGATCCATATTTTGGGTCTCTGTTTTTCTTGATTTGTTTTAAGTTTCCACATGGTATTGCATTTCTGATTGAGGGTTTTGTTTCTGATGGTTTAACCTTGTTGATTTTGACCCCTTTGCTTAATGTTGTTGTTTCTGAGTGGGATATGTTAAATGTTCGTTAGCGTGGTTGTATCCAAGTTGAGGCGTGTGGTTCCAATGCGGTTTCATTCCGTTTATTTGATTGTGCATTATGCTTCGATTTGATTATGTTGGTTGTTTTTTACGGGTTTAGTTTAAATGGGGGTCGTTAAGTTTCTTGGTTGTGCTGGCTGGTACTTGTACCAATTGTGCTCATCTCCCTGTTCAACATTATTATTATTAAAATGGTGTCCTGCATTATTGTTTGTTAAGATGGTGTCCTGTCTGATACCTTGTTGTTAAGTAATGTTCACAGGATTTTTATCAGAACTTGAGCCAAAATTACTCTACATAATGGCATAGCTGCAAGCTTGATTTAAGAAGCTGCTCATCTGATCAACTAAGTATACTGCAAGGTGAACAATTTCCCTTCTTTATAACTTGTGTATAATAAAAAATGTTACACATAAAAGAATCTCACTATGCTCTAATTAGTCCTTGAAAGCAGTGTAAAATTTGACCTGCCTCTGCCTCTGTCACCACTTGATGTATGTAACTTGTTCACAAACAAAATTAAGAACATTGACATGAAAAAAACTAAAAACTTGTAGAAGGTTAATTCCCGGTCAGCATCTTTTGCCATTTGAATGGAAGTACAATTTTGTGATTTCAGGTTTCAAAGAAGAATTTGAAAAGGTAGTGAGTGTGGTTGGAGACTCTCCATCTAAATGAATGTTTATAGACTCTTGCTTCACCCACTGTCAAACATTATCAACGGAGACATGGTTTAAAGCTGACTCACCACATTTTACCAATACAGTAAGATGCTGCATTCGATTCTCCCATTTCTAGAATATAAGCATTTTTGTGTGATATTATTATTGTTGTTATCATTACTTGCTTTTATATCCATAAAAAGCTAACTTGTATATGCATGGCATTCTGCAGATAATTGGTAAGGCAGCAGGGGACTGGTTTTATGATCGAAGCCCTTTCAGCCATGTAGATTGCAATTATCCTTGCAACCCCACTTGTCAGAACAGTGTTTCTGATCTAAAAGACCACCCTGAAATATAGATTTGACGTATTCATTAAATATAATGTTATTAGTTAAATGGTTGTTGTATTAGAATATAAGGTTTCCAAGTTCCGAAGTTAGCAAAATAAGAAAAGGCCACAATTACACTGGGGTTGTGCATTGTGTGCCTTCAATCATTGGTGTTGTAATTGCTGGTTGATAAGAGCATTTTAATGCATGTTAGTGATGTTAATCCCACTTATCTTGGGCTGATTTGTTGATCAATAACACTGTTTTAGATTAGATTTCAATACTTAGACATAATTAGGCTTAGTTGTGCATTGTAGTTTAATTCGGATTTTTTTTAAAGCCTTTTACCTTATATGCACTAAATTAGTGATATCTGGAGCTATGGTTTGAGTTTTTGAATGATTCTTTTTGGGTTAGAAAGATAACATTCATATCTTCACATTCATATATATTTTGTAATTTTTGGATGTCAGGTTTGGGCCTAGTTTGAATTTGAATCTAGTCATTGAATTCTGCCAGGAGTAATTTTTCAGTAATGACATGTGTTGATTGCAAAGACAATATCTCGAGCTACAGATAGAATTTGAGGATGAGGCTTAGTGCGTTAGAAAGCGGATTCAAAGAGCTGTAATTTGATATATAATTTGTCAAATTTGGATCAGTGGATTATTTTCTATAATTTTTAGAAGTTAGGCATTTATTTCAGTATTCTTGTATAGTAAATGTTGCCAATCCTATTGGGCTTTAATACAATATATAGAAGTTAGACATTCATTTCAGTATTTTTGTATTGTAAATGTTGCCAATCTTATTGGGCTTTAATACAAAATATAGAAGTTAGACATTTATTTCAGTATTTTTGTATTGTAAATGTTGTCAATCCTATTGGGCTTTAATACAATATATAATGGATTCGTATTTCTTAATTAGGTTTATTGTTATTTTAAAATTAATAAAAAAATATTAGTGACCGATTCAGTCGGTTATAAAATTGGTCACTGATTTGGTTACTGATTCGGTCACTGAATCAGTCACTAATTTGGTCACTGAAATCAACGATCAAGGAAAGAGTGACCAATTTGAGTTGATTATTATTTCGGTCACTATTATAGTTAGTGACCAATTTTGGTCATTTAGTGACTGAAAATTCAGTCACTAGTTGATGTTTTTGTTGTAGTGCACCCTCAATCCAACAGACAAGCCAAGACTGCTAATAAGGTCATTCCTAGAGAATTAAGGAAAATGTTGGATAATGTGAAAGGACTATGAGTTGAGGAAATACCAAAATTATTAAGGGGATATCACTGTACACCTAAGTCCTCTACGGGGGAAACCCATTCAAGCAAACGTATGAAACGCCATGATACCTGTGGAGTTAGAGAAAAAATCATGACAACAACAACAATTTAATGAGTAAAAGAATAAAGAAAATTTTGTGTATTGAGCTGGATTTGATTGACAAGTTAAAAAAGGCTTCAGCTCATGTCTGAGAGGAAGCCATAAAATAAAGAATAGCTCAGCGTCACAACTCTAGGGTCAAAAGAAGAGACTTTGAAAAAGGAGACCTAGTATGGAGGAAGGGCAGAGAAGCTCGAAAAGCACATGGAGAAGGAAAGTTAGCTCCTAATTGGGATGAACCATTTTGCGTCATCGACTTGTTACATAATGACGCATATAAATTACAAGAGCTAAACGGAAGGCTCATTCAGCGAACTTGGAACGCAATACATCTAAAGTCGTATTACAATTACTCACAATCTCACCTAGGTATACGAGTATAAACACATAATGTCTCACACCTTACTCGGGGATACGAGTATAAATGTATCGTACTTCACTCCTTACACCTTACTTGAGGATCCAAGTATAAATCTATCCCACTTCACTCTTAATACGAGTTTTACATGTACTATGCCTTTTTCGGGGATACGAGTATAAATGAATCATGTCTTACTCAAGGTTACTAGTATAAATGAATTGTGTCTTAATCATACATACGAGTAATTATACTTCACTCGAGGTTACAAATATAACATGCATGAGCTCAAAAAACACGAGTATAAATAATTTGATAAGACGCGTATCATACACGAGTATAAAACTTACCAAACATGCATAGTTAAAGGTAATGCATGTGTTGAAACACATAGAAAATGTTCAATTAAATATTACACATCAGTCCAAGAAATACAAGAAAGGAAAAATATTAATGTCGTTCTTATTAACTACCATATGCTAAACTAACTATCATCTATTAACGCTCAATCACGAACATCCTTTTCAATATCAAAGCAAGCGACATCGAGCTCGGGGACGAATAGGACAGTTTGACACGACTTTCTCAAAACCATCATCATAACTATCTAACATTGTATTTTTCAACTCAATCAGTTGGCTCTTACCTTGAGATAACTTCTCTTCTAGTATAGTAATTTTACCTTCGAGCCTCTTGCATCGAACGACCTCTACTTGCAAGTCACTCTCAACCTTCAAAGCACGATAAGTAAGTGATTCGTTTTCCTTGGCCTTAACAGAAATAACACCCTCATAAGATTTTAATTGAGAGTTTAACGTAGTCACTCTTTGTTGCGACTCAGTCAAATCTTTCTCCAATATTTTTACTTTATCGCCAAGGTCGATGACGTCCTGAAATGACGGACTATAGACAAACACCAGAGCATCATCACCTCAACAGATTCTAAGTTACCCTCAACACCCTCATGATTCATGATGCCAGAATCAATCTGCGATGGTACGTTGAGGATAGGAAGTTGATCGGTAGTAAGAGATGTATGCCACAAGGACTCAACGTTAGAAGTTGTGGACACATGATCCAATTGCCGAACAAGGTCCTCCTGACCTCTAATAATAACTCCTGAAGTACCAGGAAAAAGCTCAAAAATTGATGAAATATGTGTTGTGGGCAGTTGTTCATCAAGAATATTCTCCAAGTCCATGTAGTCAGGTTCGAAGGGAGTAGGGGAAGATGATCGCACTACTAGTTGACGCTTGGATGCCCCTGATTGGTCTAGCCGAGGACTAATCAGTATGCGACCAAGTTCTTCTCTCATCTTTTTATAATCAAACTCGGGTTCCATGACCTCTGAAAAAAAATATAGGTTAGAAAAAGCAAGTAGAAAAATGAGCCAATTAAAAGAAAACTAGTAAAATATACCTACGAATATAGAAAGTTGATCCTCGGGCAAAGAAACATTTCTTAAGGCTCTACAGTTTATAGGACGAGGAAGTCGTTTTATTAATTCGATATCTTCTTTCTCGGAAGAAGACAATAAATGTTCTGCCCGAGATTTAAACTTAAGTAGAGCTTACTGCCAAAACATATCCAACCAATCTTACTACCATACTTCACTTGATAAAAATACATAAATTTGTTTACAGTGGGCTCAATACTCAACAGAGAACACAAAATCTGAAAGACCTCGAGAAAAGCCTAACTATTGTGATGAAGTTGGATAGGTGCTACATTTAACTCGGTTAACATGGTGCATTCAAAGTCACTAAAGGGAATACTTATATCCAAATCTTTAAACCAACACTCATAGGTAAAAAAGAACGTGTACAAACCACTCTGTTATACTCGGTCCAAAGGCAAACAATGCTCTGCTACCAATAACTTTAGATTATCCTCTGAAGCAATATTGATGTATTGACAAAAACCAAGAACAGTTTAAGGGGATAAAAAACTCAGAAACATAAGAATCTATAACACTAGAAACCTAGGAATATTCGGGGGAAGTGATGCGTAGATGATCTTTATGATTACCCCTATTCTCAGATGTCCTATTTGTCTTCTTGATAGGATTAGAGGGGATTTTCCCCTTATGTTGGGAATGATTGATTTGTCTCCTCTCCGAAGAACCTTCACTAGTAACTTCAGTAGCCCTCATCACCATAATGTTTTCTATAGACACAGAAAGGGTTCGTCCCTCATCAGAACTACTTGTCAACCCTAAAGTGGTTCGCATATTTCTCACAAATACAACATCAGGTTTGTTAACATTTAAATCGGACATAATGTAGAAGGTTTGCTAGCATTTAAACCAGACATAATGTAGAAGTATCAAGAACGTACCTATTAATGCAGTGGATACGCAAAAGGAAGACGCAAAGATGAAGGAATGCCTAAGCAAAATTAGGGAAGAGAAGCGTGAAAAAGAGAAGCGTGAAAAAGAGAAACGTGAAAATGAGAGAAATGTGAAAATAGAAAATAAGACAGTAAGTTTTTTCAAAAAATAACATCTCTTCGAATTCTCAATATTTTATTAAGGTCGTCTATTAAGAAGTCATCTTTCCAAGTTAAAAAACTCGTTCAGTCTTTGTCTTTCGAGCTTGGGAGGCTTATGTACCTACCCAGTTCAAAACTATTAGGTCACTTAACCATATTTACCGACCCAATTCTATTAAAGAAATTACTTTTAGTTATTTTGTTATTAATTATCTTTATTCTATTATGGTTTAGGGTTTATATCTTATAATAGTTATTATTGTATGGGTTATCAATTAATTATATCTCGACCCATTATTATTTTTTGAATACTATATAAAGTGATCTAACCAGAGAATAATCTCATTCTCATATATATAAATCTCTCATCTAATAGTTGACTTGAGCGTTTTGCATGTGTGTCTTTACCGGATATCATCTTCAAAGTTGATTCGAAAATCGTTTAATCGACTTCATCTTCTCGTCTTTTTGACCATCTTCTCGACAAATTTACCGACCATCTAAGAACAAAAAATAAAAGAAATTATTAATTAAAAATGTTTATTAAAATTTATTATTATTATTATTATATTTATTACTTTACAATTTAATAAAATAACTAATAATGATAACTATAACTATTTAGTTAATAACATAAAAATAAATTTTGTAGTTGTTAATGTAATTATTATTATAATATTTATTATTAATAAAAATAATTATGATAATTTTAATAACAAATAATAAAATTAATAAAGATATTAATAATAAAATAAAAAATAATATTAATGATAAAGATATTATAAATAAAATAATTAATACTTATTATTATTATTAATTTTATTATTATTATTATTATATTTATTAGTTGTTAACTAAATAATTACAATTATTATATTTATATTATACTTATCATTATTAACAATTCATTAAATTATAAAATAATAAATATAATAATAATAAGTATTAATGGAATGTTGTAATTAATAATTTATTTTATTTTTTAATGTTAACTTTTTAGTTTATGATAATAATAATTTAGTGAATTTTTAAAATTTTTAATGTAATTACTATAATAAAAGTTGTTATTAACAAGAAAAAAATTATGATAATTTTTATAATAAAAATATAATTAATAAAAATATTATAGGTAAAATAATTAATACTTATTATTTATTAAATATTAAATATTTTATTTATTTATAATAAATTTAATATTAATAATGATAAAAAAAATAATAACTATATATATAACGTGACGTCATTAAAAGATAAAAATAAAAATATTACAAAGATTGAAAATAAATTAAAATCATATTTGATAGCGCAATTTATTTTGTATTAATTTATATAATTATTTTAATGCTTTTTCAAAAAAACTTTATTATATATTAACTTTGAAGACAGAAATTAAAAGTATATTTTAAATTCGATCATCAAATTACATCAAAGTAGAATATAAATGTACAAAAATACATCAAATTGAATATATTACTTATTTATTATAAATAATAAATAATAAATAATATTTTTTAAAATCAATTAGCTATATAATGATTTATTTATTTAATATTAAATAATCATATTTACTAGGATTTTAAAATTTTGATATAGAATATTTAATATAATTAAATTCTAAGACTCTTTATGGGTTTGCAGATTTGCAATGAAAGTTGATTTTTTTTTATGTAGGAAATTTGAGTTTTTTTTAAAAAAATCATTTTCATGTTTGTGAGAAGAAAGTGGCTATATTATATATAATATATACATAATTATAATAATAATAATATTAATAATTATTTTAATAATAAAAATTATAATAATTATAATTATAAAAATAATCATATTAATAATTAAAATAAAAATAATTTAAATGATTATACTATTTAAAATTATATTAATAATAATATTTTTATTTAATAGTTATTTAATTGTTTTTAATTTATTTTATTAATTTATTTTTTTATTATTCAAATTAATTAAATCATTTATAAATATTTACAATTTTTATTTTTTTTTATATTTTTTCTAAATCTAAACAATTTGCCGTGCACTCCTCTTTTCACTCAAATTTATTCTTTTTCATTACTTAAATTTATTTTTTAATCCAAATATACCATAAAAATATTTTAATTTTGTATTATGTATATAATACACAAATCAAGTTAAATAAATTAAATATGGTAAATAATAAAAATGTAAATAAAATATTATGTGTGTATTACTTTTAAAAGAAAAAGAATTTTAAATTACTGAAATAAAGTTGAAAATAAATAAATAAATTTGTAGTGATGGGAGGTGTCTCTTTCACACGTTTCCCTTGATATAAGGCATAAACATAAACATTACCCTAAATCATCTCTACTTGTATTTTCATTTTAAACAACAGTTGTGCCATATGACATGAACTCATCCATCAGTTTAAATTTTATAAAATTTAAAGGACTAATATCACATTATGAAAAATGTAAAAACTTATGTTTTTCTCTTTTAAAATTAGAAAAACATGAAAGTCATTAGAACGTATGTAAAAAATTTTCGTGTATATATAACACGATAGAAAAAGGAAAAATAATAATTATCTTTACATATAAACAAAATAAGAATTATCCATTTTTTATAATAAGAAAATTAACATATCAAAAATAAGTCTAACAGTGAAATACAAGGGAGTTGATTATTATGTTTTTTTAATTTTCGGTTTGTCTAAATTTTGTAATTATAAATTTATCACCATATTATAATTTTATTTCCTATTTTTAAATATATAAAGACACTAAAATTAACTTTTATTTTCTATATATTGTATAAATATTTTAAAACAGGAATACATTTAAAACAAATAGAACTTTTCATGATAGAAAACAAAGATCAGTAAAAAAAAAAAACACAAAAAATAATTTTATGTAAAACGTAATGAAAAAACATAGAAACAATGAAAGAGGAGGAAAAAACGGGTTGGGATGGGCAATGGATCCACTGGAGAAAAATTGGATTGCGTGTGACGTTTTTGTTGGGTCAGTCCCAAAACTGATGGGATAAGTGTCCTTAGTCCTTTCTCTCTTTGTTTTGCCTTTTCTCTATATCCTATTTACCGCATTCCACTTCACCTCTTCCCATTCTCTATATTCCCTCCTTCTCCTGACTTTCCTCAGATCCCAATACTATCATGGACGACGCTACTTCTGCTGCTACTGCTAATGGTAAATTTCTTCATCATTATCGCCTCTTGCTTCTACTTCTGTTTTCCTTATCATGCTTAATAATTAAACATAGACCCAACAGATCCTCCGATGATTGGGGTTAAGACCAGATTGAGTGTTTACATTAATGAAGAAGCAGAAGGAATATGCTTTTATGGTCTAAAAGGCAGGAACAAGACTTAACGAATTTCAAATTTAAAACATAATTGAAATTTCTAATCCATATTCCAATCGTGTTCAATTCAGTTAATATGAGACATAGAGTGCCTATGTAGGCTGGAATCATATTTCTTGTCCCATTCCCATGGGATATTCTTAAAAGAAAATTTGAGCCCAAGTCTTGCTTTAATTTGTAATGTTTGAAGTATACTCAGATTTAGCTATTCAGGAAGAGTCACGGGCTTGTCACTTGTCATGTATGTGTGCTTTATTATCACTTGATTTGCTCTAAAATAATATCTGAACAAATAAGTATTTGTTTTCCAAATCAGTTTTCTTCCTGACCTTTTTTTTTAGCAGTTGTCCTTGGTAAAGTCCTTTTTCTTGTTGAACATTACAGATTTTAGTACAATAATGCTCCTTGTTGATTTTGCTTCTATAGCTGGAAGGATTTGACTGTTTGATACTGGTTTTTGTTATATGTAGTGTTGGAAGTCAACGATGAAACTATTTCTGTTGCCTCCGCATTTCCTGGTCATCAAGAAGGTATGGTTATTGATCATATCTATTTCATATGCTACTCCCGTGCCCCCTCCTGCATTTTTTTTTTTTTTTTTTTGTTTCCAAACAATATTTTCTCTTGGTTACCAGCTGTACAGGATAGAGACCACAAGTTCCTAACAAAAGCAGTTGAGGAAGCATATAAGGGGGTTGAATGTGGCGATGGAGGCCCATTTGGTGCTGTTGTTGTTCGAAATGATGAAGTAGTTGTAAGCTGTCATAACATGGTTTTAAGAAACACTGATCCAACTGCCCATGCTGAGGTTACTGCTATAAGAGAGGTCTGTTATTCTTTCCATTTAGAATTTTCTTCTCGATTTTTGAAATCTGAGGTCTATCACATGAATCAATAGTGGTAGTGGTGAATGGATTAGAAAAGGTCTGGGAATTGTAATCTTGATATTCTACCATTTGGCTTCCAATATGGGGACGGATTAAGTGAGGGGTTGATTGTAATATGCTTTAAGTTATTTAGTTAGATTAACGTTTTTCCTTGTCCCTTCCTACGTTCTTTAAGCGTGGCAAGAAACTGTTTAAACAGGTATCATGTCATCTGGATCTGTATAACCTGGCGTATTAAACAGATAAAAATATAAGTTCTTTCCTTTTCTTTCCCAAGAAAAATATCAAACCAATAACTTTTAGTTTGAGCATTCTTTAATCTTATATTGCAATAATCTATCACTGACTCTGGCTGTCTCAGACATACTTGGATCTCAAACTCTTGGAGTTTTGAAAAACACCATTTGATACCTTGAAGATGTTATGTGTGAATTCAAGCTGCTGAAAGTTTACATTGTTTGCTGTAACATTAAAAGCATGTCATTTGACTCCCTTCATCCTGGTATATATATATATATATATATATATATATCTATGATGTATGTAAGAGGGATCTGATTTTTTTCTTTTTATATCCAATATCACTTTTATAACTCCTTGACCAAGGGTCTCTTTGGAAAAGTTTTTCAATAAACACTTATAGGATAGAAAAATATGAACGAAAATGATATCAACTTCTCCTTAAGTTAAAAATAGCTTATGCATGAAGCAATTTGAATGAGTGATTTTCTATTAGTTCCTCCAGAATCTGATTTTAAACTTGTACGTAAGCTAATCTTAGCTTGTGGTAAATCTAATTTCACTTTTCCTTCTTATTTATCTCTCCTAAAAGTGTTCATGAAGAAGTTTTCTCCAAACAGTCTCCATATCACTTTTCTACTTATTTTCTCAATATACATCATTTAGGATCTCACGTTATAACTGGATATCATCTGTAGGCTTGTCAAAAGCTGAACCAAATTGAACTTGCTGACTGTGAAATCTATGCTTCTTGTGAGCCGTGTCCCATGTGCTTTGGCGCAATTCATCTTTCAAGAATTAAGGTGACCCTGCTACATCATTCATGTTTTCCTTTCACCACATATTTCCCTAGTTTTTATTAAAATGATTGCATTGTTCATTCTGTTCGAATTGAACAGAGATTGGTTTATGGAGCTAAAGCAGAAGCTGCAATAGCAATTGGATTTGATGATTTTATTGCTGATGCACTGAGGGGCACTGGTTTTTATCAGAAGGCTCAGTTAGAGATAAAAAAAGCTGATGGTAGCGGTGCTGTTATTGCAGAACAAGTATTTGAGAAGACAAAAGAGAAATTTACTCTGTACTGATTTGCTTTAGTCTTCTAATTAAAAGTGAACACAAGATACAATTGTTCAGGAAAATTTCAATTTCTTACTATAACTCCATTCATAAATTCAAGAATACAAAGTTTACATGCCTTTGTGCAGGCATTCATTAGCTCATATTGTTTGCTTAAGGCATTGCAATGATCATTGATATGTTAAATTTATGAAATCTGTTTGTTTAAGGCTTTGCAAATGATTATTGTTATGTTAAATTTAGGAATGATCTGTTTGATTGTTAGTGTTGCCTAGGTAGTTCAAACCTGACGAGGCAAATTGGGCTTATAATGCACTGAATGCACTAATGACAGGCCTATCATGCTCAAGAATCCAAGCTTGTCATCCACATATTCCACATATACATACATGGTATAATTAAATTTTTTATCTACGACAAAACATTACAGAGTTGCTAGAGCTATTCTACAGTTATTTGCAGTTGTTGGCTTTGAATAAAGCAAGCCTTTTCTGCATATCTGGGAGAAGTTTCAGTATAAAACATGTCATCTTCATCTAGATCGCAATTCCTCCAATCTAGCCTTGATATGATCGTGCAACAATTGCAACCGCTTCAAATACACCTCCAGCTCCACAATCCCCCGTTTTTTCCATTGCTGATGGTCCACTCCCTCAGGGCATAGCGGCAATGGGATTGGCACTAACCCAGGAAGTGGCTCATCCTGTCCTTCATCCAACACTTCCTTCGGCAATGGGGAGAAACAGGACCTCATGGTCTCCTCGATGAAGCCCTGGATGCTACTAGCAACATTGTTCTGCTCATTTGTTCTGTTCACATCTTCTGCATCATCTAGCCGCAATCGCTTTGGCACTCTCTCGTCTATTTCATCACTGTTGTCAAGTTGATCAATCTTCATCTTAATGTTGCCAACAAGGTAACGACTTTCAGGAGTGCGTCCTGATTCATCACCATCCAAAGAATCTTGGTCTAATAGGTTATCCGTGCCATTGCCCCAAATCTTGTGGGAAATTTCGAAAATAGCCTGATCCTGGGGGTTCCTAAAGGGAGCCTCCTTGTCCTTGCCTTTGTCCAAAGCCAACTTGTGTTTCCTCTTTAGCCTACGCAGCTTCTCAACAAGCTGATTCCTGTTGAAATCCACGTTCAGTTTGGGCCTCACGTGGTCATACAACGAGGCTACGTCGTTTTGGAGGGTGGTGGTTCTCTTTCCATGCTTCTTGATGTAATCAAGGTATCCCTTCAGCAGTTCCGTCTCATCCTGCTTCGTCCACAGCCTCTGATATTGTCTCATCATGCCGGTATACTTGGTGGAGCGCTGCCCTTTGGAGCCTGTTACTAATGTGGGGGCGGTGTCGGGGATGATGCTTCTTTCATCGTTGGGCGGGAAGGCCACCGTCACGGCAGGGGAGGCATTTCGAACGGCAAGAGCAACGGGAATGGTGTCATCCACATCGCATGAGCTAAGATATTGTTCGTTCTCGTCATCTTGTATATTTATGTCTTGGTGGTTTTCATAATTAATGTGATCATCAGTGTTAATGTCATGGTTTTGTTCTTCGGAAGAGGAAGAGGATGGGGAGGGGGAGACGATCCAAGAAACCAACTGGGAAAGCATTTTTGAGGAGACACCACACTTCCTTTTTCCGCATATTAGAGTATCAAGGTAGCCGTTGTTCGTTTATGGCACCTGTGCATTTACTATCAATAGCATCTAACAAGAGGAAACATATCATGTTATATATTCTCATCCGTATAATCCGAATTCAGCTCAAACCAGTTTCACATGCTTGTTTTTTTAAAAGCAAACAAACAAAAAAGTTAGCTGTTAACTAAACCAGTCAATCTGCCTAAAATAACACTTGTCTTATTTATTTCCTTTTCTAACAAAATAAATAAAACTTGTGTTGTGTTAACTCAAATACGTATTTCTATAAACTGACTTAGCTGCAATTAGTTTCTTTTAGAATTTCTTCATATTTTTATTTCAGAAACTGAAGAAAAAGGGATATTTTTATAACCATGCATTGAAGAAAATTCACGTGATTAATATATAGTCGAACGATGAAACAAATAACGGAACAAATAGAAATGTAAAATGCATTTCATAAATGCAAAATCTAAAAGCAGGAGTTTGGGTTTTGAAGGTTTCAGCTTTCAACTTTTCATCCACTGCCAGCTGAAATTAGATAGAGATACACACGCAACAAATTAAAAATGAAGGAGTAAGTATGTTTCAGATTCTATCGGTTCTGTCCAATAAATACCATCTTCACTTCATCAACCATTTTATTTTAGCTTAGCAGGATAATACTTTTCTATACTGATTAAATTTTTTATATATATATATATATAACCTGTATTTTAAGTATATAATGATGTATAATTTAATATACAATATATCGTTAGGTTTCAACAACATGTTTAAAAATATTTAATTTCAATTTTGATATATAAACAAAATTTGTAAAATAAAAAAATATGTATATATATATATATATATATATATATAAATTTACAATAAAAATATATTGTTTTCATAAATTAAAAATTCTTTGCTGTAAAAAGATAAATTACAAATATTTTTTGCATAATCAATTGTAAATTATTGTATCTATGTTGCTTTAAATATCAATTTTACTCTACATTGTTATCAGTTACCATTCAAAGTAAGATTTACTTTCTATCTTTATAAATAATAATTTTTATTTTTAAGAATGTATAATTTTTTTTGCAAGAATAAAAAAAATAGTAAATTACAATAATTTTTTTATGGTAAAATTATGTTATTTGATTCTTAAAATAAGAAATATAAAAATAAAAATTCTATCATAGATCATAATAAAATTAATAAGTACATATATGTTTGAATATGAACTGAAGAGTTGAGAAAAAATTAGTATTAAATAAAGCAATAAAGAAAGTCATGTGGGGCAAGTTGTTGGGTGGAGTACCTAATAAACCACCTCCCAGATTCTCATTCTAATTCTTAATGCGACCAAGAGAGTGAAAAAATAGTGACACCTACAAAACAAAACAAGCAAATCCCGTGAAAGCAAGCAAAAAAGAAAGCACCCACTACGCCCTTCGCCTAACCAACGCAACGCAACTCCAATGCCCATGGCATCCGATCTAAACGACGCGGTTTTCCCCGAAGAAGATCTCGACGACGACGACGAAACACTAGAGGACGAAGAGGAGGATGACGAAGACGACGACGTTCAAGACGATGACGAAACCGAACCCCCACCCTCCGTCCTCACCGCCGTAACCGTCGCCGCCCCCGGTTCTACCGTCTCCCAAACACTCGACACCGCGTCAATTCCGATCGCCGTCGTCGATTCCTCGCCGAAACGGCCGCGCACCGAGCAAATCGAGGAGAAAAAAGCGCTGGACGATTCGAGGCGACTGTTCCAGCGTCTGTGGACTGACGAGGACGAGATTGGGCTCTTGCAGGGGTTTCTAGACTACACGGCGCAGCGAGGATCCTCTCACCATAACGATACCGCTTTGTTCTATGACCAGATCAAATCGAAGCTTCAACTCGGGTTCAACAAGAACCAGCTCGTCGAGAAGCTCCGGAGGCTGAAGAAGAAGTACCGCAACGTCGTTAGCAAAATCAGCGTTGGCAAGGAATTCTCCTTCAAGAGCCCTCACGACAGAGCCACCTTCGAAATCTCGCAGAGGATCTGGAGCAACACCGCTCCAATCACCGGTCCCGTCGAAGATGACGACGAAATCAACCCTAACCCTAATCCTTATCCTAATCCCAACCCTAATTTCAGCCATTCGGCGAAGACCCCACTGTCGCGGAAGCGATCGCGGCCTCGATCGGAGAAGCGCGAGTTCAACGAAGGTTCAGCGTTGAACAAGGATACTAATTGTATTGGCAACAGTAACAACAACAGCAATAAAGATAATGAAAATTGTAACAATAGGCATAGTATACAGGTTTTGATTGAAGATACGGTGAGGAGTTGCGTATCGCCAGTGTTGAAGGAGTTGGTGAGTGGTAGCATAGGATTGGGAAATGGTTTTGGTTTTGGGGGAAGAGGGTTTGGAGTTGGAGGGTTTTCATTGAATCCCTTGCAAATGCAAATGCAAATGCAAATGGCATTGAGTTCATTGAATTTGGGGATTGGGGAAATGGTGATGGATGAAAAGTGGAGGAAGCAACAGATTTTGGAGCTGGAAGTATATTCCAAGCGTTTGGAATTGGTGCAGAATGAGATCAAGGTTGCTCTTGAGGAGTTGCGATCATCTGGTGGAGGCTGACTCAATAAAACAAAGCTTTTAGGTGTTTCTTCATGAGTATAAGGGTTTCCTCGCTAATTATTAATCCACCAGTCATTTATAGGGTAGTTATACAGCTAGTAATTTGTTTTTTCCTTTTCTTTTTTGTAGCTTAGTTTTTTATAATTGCATACAGCAGTTGTTCAATAAATTGTTCTTATATTTCCTGTCTTTTGTAAAATTTTCTTCTACACCGATTAATAATTTACATGTACAGATAGAATCAACCAATTGGCGCAAGAGGAGCTTCATGTATTTTGATGTGTTGTGAAGTATGCAATTGAGTGAATTTTTCAATAAAGAAGGTACTATTTTGTTGCATTTGTCTTGTGAGGCTTTGGGTTTTGTGATTTCTGAGTTCTGGTAATTTACACAGGATAGTGGCATAGCGGTATGCAATGGCGTATTCCAGCCACATGATTCTGGCACATATTCCTATACAAACCTAATTTTATATTTTTTATATGTTAAAATTAGTAAAAAAAAATAAAAAAAATGGAAGGGCCAGTTACAAAAAATTAGAAAAGATCTATTTTCACGTGATTCTCGTATTCGAGAGAACCTTATCTTTCTCTTGGTATTTCATCAGTGTGGCCATTTGAAACTTGCTGTACATGCTGGATGGAAGTACTGAAAGTTGTAGATTTGAGATTGCAATTTCTGTTGTCAGTTTTTTATTTTTCTTTCTCTCGGGTAAAGTTATAGTCATTCCCTGAGTAGTTATTTCAATTTGATTCTGGTAAAAGTTGAAAAGTTGAAGTTTGCTCTACATTTCTGCCTTTTAATGATTTGGATTCTCTGGTCTTTGGAATGTAGCTGGACGCATGGGTTGGAAGGCATTATCATAGGGATTAAGTCAATTATTAGTTTATTATCGAATCTCTTTTCATTTCTGTCTTTAATAATTTTAAATAATATATTATTAATAAATAATATATATATAAAAGCATATTTAATAATGGATAAATTTGTGATTAAAATCATAAATATTAAATTATTTTGGTGAACCTCTCACCCAAGATGATCGGAATCATCTAGTACAATTTCCAAATTCGAAATTTCAAAATATAGTACGAGCAATGCCAAATTGCTGATCACATGGCAAAAAGAATGCAATGGAAACAAACAATATTAAATAATTTAAATTCAATACACTTAAAAGTGTTAAAAAAAGAGGTAGTGAAAAGTTACTGTTTATATAAAAAAAATATATTGAAATGATGAGCTTGAACAGTGAACTTCAAACTTCCTTGAAATAAAACCTATTTTCTAAATATAAAATTGTAATTGTTAATAGCAAAAAGTAAAAAAATATTTTTAATATCTACTAATTATTAGTAAAAAAAAATTAATGTCTATGTGTGATAAACCATCAATTTAATTCTCGAAGTATAAATATCATTCTTATTTAAGAGTAACCCTTTAAGTATTAATGTTAAATATTCCTTAAAATATTGAATAGCTTTATAAATTACTCCTTAAATACGAAGTAAAATATATGAACTTCGGAAATAAATTAACAAACATTCAATATTTGAAAGATTACTTATATAGTTTTACTTAAAGACTACTTGGAAATGAGAATTTGTATGACCATATTGTAACTTGGTGTATATATTTTATCATATTTATAATCATTAAACCTAATATGTCCTCATTTTAAATAAGTCAAATTTGTGTTGGAATGCTCTTGGACCAATCAGAAATTTTAAATCAGCTTAATATAATCTTTAAACAAACCGTATTTTGATTTTAAACTGGATAACGTTGAAAAAAAGAATGCCTTTTAGAGACTAGACTACAAATATCTAACACAATTATGTACATTGTGAACTTTAAATTTAATATTGAATAAACAATTATAGTTTGATTTTAAAACTGGATGTTTTTGGTAAATAAAAATGTTTTTTAGAGACTACAATTATTTAATACAATTATATACCAATACTAGAACTCATGGATCTATATTGAATAAACAATTATTGTTGTACGAATTGAAATATAAACTTAGTCATTCAATAACATATATGTTATTAAAGTAATAGAAATTAAAATATGTTATCGAAGTAATAAAAATTAAAAACTAACAAATCATAATGTGAGCCAAATATAAATGAATAAGAAGAACCAAATCTAGGAAGGGTATTGTTTTCGTTTGTTTATCTTGCATCCCATATTCGAACAAAAAAAATAATATTATCCTTATGATAAAACTAGTTTTGGATTCACCTTTTTAGATATTTTCTGGAACCGACCGTTCAAAAATATTCTATAATTTTTCACAAAATTTTAAAAAAGCATTTCAAAATCAATTTCCCATATTAATCTTTCTAAAATGATAATTTATATTTCAGTTTTTATAATTCAAAATTTAATTATAGGTGTAAATTGTTACCAAGTAAGCCGAATATATGTTATCTGCTAGTGGTACTGTTGTGTCAATTATTTTTGTTTCTGTATGTTTCCTATTTACTAGCTGTATAAAGTTATGTCACTAATAAAATAAATATATCATTCTTTTTGATATACAATTTTATTAAAATTTCTTTGTGAGTTTTGTGTTCCTTGATGATATCTAGAGTCCTGGTCGTGTATAGTGACATGTGAAAGAGTGGTGATAGAATTTGAAGAATTGGAAAGTGTGTTGAAGACCGTCTTAATTCTCTAAGATCTTGTGAAGATTTTTGAATAAGAGGAAACGAGGATGACTGGAAATAGTAGTATCATCCAAGGAGTTCTACCCGTTTTCGATGGAAAGATGTTTGATGAGTGACGCATCAAGATGATGGCCATATTTGGATTTCAAGATGTCTCAGATGTGATAATAAGTGATCTTGAAGATCTTGAGAAGAAAGCTAATGAAAAAGAAAGAGAATTACAAGAATCAATAGATGCTCGATAGGAAGGCCAAGTTTATGCTGCACCAGTGTGTAAGCTCGAGAATCTTTAACAAGATATCAAGGGCAACTACTGTCAAAAAAGCATGGGAGATTCTTGTCAAGACATATGGAGATGACGACAAGAATACGAAGGTGAGACTACATACGCTGAGAAGAAAATTTGAGCTTTTAATGATGGAGGAAAATGAGTATGTTGCAGAATATTTTGACAAAGTTCAGGAACTTGTTAATGCCATGCGGACATGCAAGGATTCTATCACAGATCAATCAGTGGTTGACAAAATATTGAAAACTTTACCTGGCGGATTTGATCACTTGGTGGTTACAATTGAAGAAACACGTGATCTTGATTCAATGGATTTAGAAGACTTACAACATTCACTTGAAACTCATGAGTGCAAATTTAATGAAAGAAAGAGAGTTAAAGAACTATCCCTTCGAGCAAGAACTAGCTATAAAGACAAGAGTAAGAGATTTGGATAGAAGACAGACAGAAAATTTGTGACTGGTAAGGGAAAGCTAAAATCAACAAGTAAATCCAAGGAGGATAATCAGGAAGAATCTTCATCCGGAAGTGAAGAGAAAGAGTGGAAGTTTGATGAAAGAAAGGTGAGGTGTTATAAGTGCCAACAGATGGGGCACTTTGCTCGTGAATGCCCAAATGGTGATCGTGTGAAGGGCAAGAAGAGTCGAGCACATCTTGCTAAAGAAGAAGAAGAAACGTTCGATTCTGAACCTATAACGTTGATGGCACAAACTGATGCAGTTGGCAACGACGAATCTTCCTGGTATCTTGATTCAGGATGCTCAACTCATATGACTGGGAGAAAGGATTGGTTTGTGAAAATGCAAGAACCATCATCACATGGAAGAATCAAGTTTGCTGATAATAACAGCCTGACAACAGAAGGAGTTGGAAGAGTTGTATTAAGGGATCTTGATGGAAGAGAAATCGTGGTGGAGAACGTGTTGTACGTGCCTGGTTTGAAGACCAATTTGATGAGTCTTGGACAACTTCTTGAGAAAGGTTTCACAATGAAGATGGAGGATAACTGTTTGAGTGTATTTGATCAGAACAAGAGGATTGTGATACAAGCCAAGTTTTCACAAAATCAGTCTTTTTAGGTTGGAATGAAGATGCTGAAACATCAGTGTCTCTCTGCGTCAGAGGGAAAAATTGAATGTGTGTGACATCATCGATTTTGTCATTTAAACTTACAAGATTTACATAAGCTAGGAAACAATCAAGTTGTTTATGGACTTTTTAGATCATCATTCCAGAGGAGGTATGCAAGGAATGTATGACATGCAAGCAAACTTGTTTGAGTTTCAGCAGGGCAGTGTCTGTGAAAACTAGTGAGAAATTGGGACTTGTTTATTCTGATATGTGTGGTCCCATTCAAGTTGAGACACTTGGAGGTAACACGTACTTCTGTACTTTCATTGATGATGCCACGAGGAAAACTTGGGTTTATCCGATCCAAATAAAAAGTGAGGTGTTTGATGTTTTTCGAAAGTTCAAGAGAATTGTTGAGAAGCAGAGTCGAATGAGGCTGAAGGTGCTACAAATGAATGGAGGTGGAGAGTATGTCTCTAGTGACTTCATGAAATTCTGCGAGGAGGAAGGGTTGGAACATCAAGTCACACCACCTTATACGCCCTAACACAATGGTTGTGCTGAAAAGAAAAATAGAAGTTTGATGAACATGGTACGGTGCATCCTACGCTGCAAAGATCTGCCTCAATAACTATGGGGTGAAGCTGTCAGCACTACCTCCTATGTGATGAATAGGAGTCCCACTAAGAGATTGAAGGAGTTGACACCTGAGGAAGTTTGGACAAGTGTAAAACCAAGCGTAACACATCTCAAAAATTTTTGGTCTTTATGCTGGAAATGTGTACCTGATCAGTAGAGGCAGAAGTTGGATGATAAAGGTATACCACATGTGCTAGTAGGGTATCATTCAACTGGAGGTTACAGGCTTTTTGATCCAAAGTCTAGGAAAGTGAGTATAAGTAGAGATGTTATTGATGAAACAACCGAATGGAGCTGGGAGCAGCTTGTGCCCAATAAAGCACAATAAAAAATGTTACTTGTTAATGAGTCAGGATCAAACAAGGATGAATGCAGTGATCAAGAGGGGGTGATAAGGCGTTCATCTCGTCTCAGGAAGCCAACGACACATCTCCAAGATTATGATTTTGGACATGAGTCTTTGGTCTCCATAGAAGGCAATTTGATGCATTTTGCTCTTATTACAGAGGTTGAACCTCTCACGTTTGAAGAACCAAAGATAGACAAAAGGTGGTGGAGTGTTATGGAGGAAGAAATCAGATCAATAGAGAAGAATAACACCTGGAAGTTAGTAAATATGCCAGCTGATAAAAAACCAATTGAGTTGAAGTGGATTTACAAGACAAAAGTAAATCCAAAAGGTAAGATAGTGAGACACAAAGCTCGCTTAGTTGCAAAGGGATACTTGCAACGAGAAGGGGTGGATTACGGAGAAGTTTTTGCTCCTGTGGTACACATTGAGACAGTTCGTTTAGTGGTGTCAATAGCAAATAGAGAAGGTTGGAGCATGCATCAACTGGACATAAAATCAACATTTTTAAATGGATTTCTTGAGGAAGATGTATACGTTCTGCAGCCTCAGGGATTCGAGAAGGAGAAGCAAGGGCACAAGTTGTACAAACTCAATAAGGCCTTGTACGGCCTAAAGCAAGCTTCAAAAGCTTGGAATAAGAGAATAGACAAATTCTTGTGTCAAGTAGGCTTTCTGAAGTGCATATCTGAGTTTGGAGTTTATGTTAAGACTGTGATACACAACAAGCTAGAAGAAAAGTTGATAATCTGCTTATATGTGGATGACTTACTCGTGATATAGGAAGCAGTGAAGAACTGATAAATCAATTCAAATCTCAGATGATATCTGAATTTGAAATGAGTGACCTTGGGAGGTTGAATTACTTCTTGGGTATTGAGTTTGTGCAAACCAACTTTGGAGTCGTTATGCATCAGACCAAATATGCGTCTGATTTGCTCAAAAGATTTAACAGGCTATAGAGTAATCCTGCAAGCACACCCTTAGAAGTTGGTCTGCATCTTGAGCAAAATACTGCTAAAGAACCAGTTGATCCCACAGTCTTTAGAAAGATGGTTGAAAGCTTGAGGTATTTGTGTCATACTAGACCTGACTTAAATCACAATGTTAGGTTAATTAGTAGGTTCATGCAAGAACCCAAGCATTCACATATAACTGCTGCAAAAAGGATCTTGAGGTATTTATGTGGAATAACTAAGTTTGGAATTACGTTTCCCAGGAACACTAACCATGAAGATATGAAGCTGGTTGGTAAACCAACTCAAATTGGTATGGTGATAGAAGTGATAGAAAAAGCACAACTGGCTACATTTTCTTTGTTGAAGGAGCTTCAATCAGCTGGAGTTCTACAAAAGAGCCTGTTGTTGCTCTTTCATCTTGCGAAGCGGAATATATTGTTACGTCTGAAGTAGCATGGTTGGAGAAATTGATGATTGAATTGAAATTTAATTTGAAGTCAAGAATGAGACTTATGGTAGAAAACAAATCTGCCATTAATTTAGCTAAGCATCCAACTTGTTATGGTAAAGGCAAGCATATTGAAACTCGTTTTCATTTATTGCGGGATCAAGTAAATCAAGGAAAGCTTGAAGTGGATTTTTGTAAGTCAGAGTCTCAACTTGCAGTTATCTTTATAAAAACCTTGAAATGTGAAATGTTTAAATATTTAAGAGAAACTATTGGAGTTGTTTGTGTAAAAAATGTTTTTTTTTTTTTTTGCTTAGGAAGGTGTGTTAAGAAGTAAGCCAAATATAAACTATCTGCTAGAGGTACTGTTGTGTCAGTTATTTTTGTTGCTCTATGTTTCCCATTGACTAATATAAAGCTATGTCACTAATAAAATAAATATACCATTCTTTTTTATATACAATTTTGTTAAAATCTCTGTGTGAGTTTTGTGTTCCTTTATAAATATCATTTATGATTTCAATTTTTTCAGATTCATATTTTCGTAATGATAAAACTATTCCAAAGATGAAGTTAAAAGGTCATTCCAATAAACTAACCCAAATAAAATATAGGCACAAGTGTAATAATCGGACCAACTCACGAGAATGAACCAGTCTCTCCACAATTGGTAATACATAATATCAAATAAATCATTTTCATAATTTCATAATCCAGAATTTAAAAAAATTATATATTTTCAGATTTACTCAGAATTTTTTTCTAAATTTATCAATCTGAAATACTCTAGACTATGCTTCCAATCAATAGTTGCATAAAAATAGCATGAATATTATTCTTTTCAAATAAATACAAGAGTGCAGGAAGAATACCGGTGCAAGAAGAAAAAGCTACCAGGAAAACCACCGCTCCTGAATATTAGAATTTAAATGACTGTATAAATGACCCAAAATAAAAGAAGAAAAGATGCTTACATATAGTGCCCGTTAACAGTTAGCAAACTCAGTTTGGTAGGTGGAAAATATGATTTAGAGAAAAGAGCAACCTTCTCTCAGTGCCTTGGACCTTTCATCAAATAAAGCCGACAGAATTCCCTCAGAGAGTCAATAGAGCAGCTTCCTCCATGTAACAGTTTCTATATCCCATACAACATAGATGCTGGGCATGACAATCCCAGACAAATATCCTTCATTTCCTATTAAACGAATCAAGTTCTATTCACGTCAAGTATGTACATACAGGTTAATTGCTATACAAAGCCCTACATGATTTTACATACACCACAATAACATAGTTCCATACCATGGAACAAAGCAACACTTGTGCTGATTCCTAGCCGCAAGTTGTAATTGACAACTCGCAACCAATTCCATGAGTATTTGTTTAAAACTTTAAATATAAGTTGACAAATATCAGGCTGGTTCTTAGCACCTTTCCAAAGCCTGGTCGACTGTCAGTAATGTGCCAACTATTTAAGGCTGAAGATCAAATTGCAATCAAATTAATGCACATCTTCACTTGATTACTGAATTAGGCTGACCATAAAGAGAGTATAGCTGCAATGTGAGGAGCTGACAGAGAGAAGAAAAGGCACAACAACCATTATTGCTTCCCAGATTCTGGTGTATCTGGCTGACGTATTTTAACTTGGTAAACCTTCTTGATCTGCTTATCATGAGTTGCTGGCCCCAATGACGTAATGTTCTTCACAAACCGGGGTTGTAAATTGGTTATTGGTCTGGAATTTGGAAACCACAATGCCCTAGGTCTCTCCCTTTCCTCCCTCGTTAAAGCAGAAAAGTCAGTCTTCACATTGTGGAACTGTTCTTCACGCTGTAACCTATCTTGTATCTTTAAATTCTGTCTGTCATCGTGTCCACCATATCTTGGTCTAGTCATCACGCCTTGGTAATTATATTCTCCATAATAACCACTTGCGTTCTCACCATAATATTTTCCATATCCATAATATTTTCCATATCCAGCTGATCGAAGCCTGTTTGTTGTATCATGGACTCGAGGTTGCTCCAATCCATGGGATGTATTATTTGATTTAATGTTGAGAGTGTTCTTGACAAGTCGATGAGCTGCTTCTCCCAGTTGAGATCCAGCTATTGCTCCAGGTACTTGTGGCCTGTGGGATGCATCATATACAGAATGGTCAGGCAAGTCAAGTATCTCCAATAGAATAAATGACAGGTTTCATGCATCAAGAATATTAAATAATCCGATTGAAAGCCACTGAGAACCTTTCAACTTCCATAACATTCACTTTTATAGATCTCACAAGTATACTACTTGAAGCAAATATTAAGAATTACATCTAAAAATTTTGTAAATATAACTATGTAAGACAATGAGCTGTAATTCCATATATCACCAATATGATTCAATGATTTGTTAATTTTGTTCTCTTTTATCTTTCATCAATTCTCATCAAAGAAGTTGAAAAATTGGATCTGCTTGAATGTTAAATGAAAAAGAGCAGGGAGTAGCACTAGTGAATGCACTCTATTTATTTATCCATTGCTATGTTTACATTCTTTTGAAATTTGGACTTCGTAGTCACTCACTCACCCTATTTGGTAGCTATTCCACTGGAGGGCTCTGTTTTCAATTGCATTTTTTAGAAATAGAGTATTCACGCAGTCTCTCACTCACTCTATACGTACCTTATTTTGCTATATAAGGGATAGGCTCTAATTATGCTACAACATACGCTTCATGCAATCAGTATATGTAGCATTCATAGAAGAGAAGGGAAGGAAGAGTATTTCCTCAGGTCTTAGGACAATATACTGTTCTCAGCAAAAGATTACACATAAAATGTAATTTTTATCCAATGTCCACACTATGGGATGCTGCTCTTAGGACTAAATACAATTTAGAAGAAACATGCAAATAATTATGTATTACTACTTCTTATATATTGGCTTCTACATAGGTTGATAGCGAGACTCAATTGTTTTGTTTGACTTGTGACTAACTTGTTTTGTAAATTATTTGTTAAAAAGTATTACATTCAGAACCATTGATCCTTCATTAAATAAGATACATTTAAAGCTATTTTTAATCGTCTCTGAATGTTACAATTTGGTATGATCTACAATTTATGATTCAAAAATTAGTTTGGAATTTAGGATTTGATAACCTTTGGAATATTAAACTTAAACATCAGTTTGGGCAATATTATGTTTGAAACCCAGCCAGCAAGAACCTGAAATATATTGTAGAAAGCTGTCATTCTCATGGAAACAGATTCTGACCTTTCTCTTGCTTGCAGTAGCTGACCAATATTGTCCTCATGCCATAGCACAGGAAAAGGTCTAATATCAATGGCTTTTAATACCTGCAAACAAAAACAACGTGAAACTGAGGTCTATATAATTGAACCGAGAAGAAAACAGCAGGTATGATTGAATTTAGATGGAAAGATACATAGAACAATTTTAGACAGAATTTAGAGAATGAGAATGTTTTATTATTTTGTTAACTGTAATAAACAGGTAATGTAAGATATCTACGTAAAAGCCTTTTTCTGGAGAGCATTCGCTAGGATAATCTTGAGGGGAATTCATAGACACCAACACCATGGAACACTAAGTGCATTTAAACCGGAGATAAAATATGATATTTCCTAAATACATTTACAATTATTGTTTATAACAAGTACAACATCTAATTAAAAAGAACAAAAAACCATAATAAGGGGTCAAAATATAGATAAGTCTGTCTGTGCTATCTCCCCAAACCTAGTTAATAGTTATTGACACAAGAAGTGGTTCTATGAGTAAATAAATAAGCAACCGTAGTGTAGGAGATCCATGAGATGAACTGATTAATCTTTCAAGTCAGATGCTAAGAGTAGTCAGTCAGAACACAAACCTTGTTGGGTATTACTACACCATCTGGAAGTTTGGGGATATGATTGTATCTACGAGGGTTAAGAAATGTAATATTTCTGAAATAAAAAAACACTCAACATGAGTTCTCTACAGAAGATTAATTTATTCCATTGGTGTAGTCATAGAGGACAAAACTTACAAGACTTGGTTACATTCAATATCAGGCAATCCTCTGATGGGAGAACATACAACAGAGCTGAAAACATTTCTTTCACATAGCCAAAGATATCCATTCATCCCACTACTACCAACAAGGATAACAAAACAAGTATGTAAGCCTATTAAATAGCTGCCAGAATTCAAAATTATTAGTGATGACCACTGGAATATTCACCAACCTAGCATTTGGGTCAATTGGCCGAACACACCTTTCATGTGGGGCTAATTGACTACAAACATGGTAATACGATAAGATCTGTGAAGCCAAATCATGTGCACGATTGACATATAACAAATCAAGCATCACACTGTTCTGAGATTGTTCTTCCTCCTACATATAAGAAAACTGATATTAAGCACTAAAGACACAAGAATTAGAAGCTTTCATGATTTTTTTTGCTGTTAAGCATGGTCAACTGTGACAAAAAAAAACATGTGTCAAAGCTATCTACCTATTTAAAATATCTGTTGAATTAAAGATCTAAAAAAGAATCTTCTAGCAATTGAGTAGCAGAAATAGAACAGAGGAGGTTAAAAATGGCTACAGCCAACCAACATTCGACAATTCCTACTTAAAGCACAACTGCATTTCCTCCTGGGAGGATGCTGAACACACATTTTATGCCACTCTGATCTTATTTTAAACATAAAAAATACTAACGGATTCAAGAAGAACCCCAAGGTTTATATTTACAGTTTTTCAAGCAATTTAACAAACAATTTTGGACCACGAAACAAGTATTCTTAGTCAATAATCATAAATATTCAACTATCCCCTCCCCTTCCACACACATTAACATAAAATTTCCAAACCGTTAATGTATCTTCAATCTTTCTTGTGGCAGCGAGCAATTTCTTCTCATCAATAAATGGCAGCTTGGCAACACCCTGAAAAGTACCCCCAGTAGTAGTTAAAAGCAATCTTAATTCCCACTTCATTCTAAAGCATTCCTAATTTGTAAACACACTATAATACCTGCCATGCAAATCGTTTTCCATTCATATCAATCTCAAAATCTGTCAAATAGGTATCGATGTCATATCAGAAAAAGACATGTAAAATGTAACAATAAATAATAAACAATTAGTAGACAAATTATCTTACCAGCAGGGTAAAAGTGAAAAATTGGAGATGAAGGATCAGTCATCAAATCCCTATATTTCTTGGGTAGTGCACTTGAACTATAACAGAAAATAAATAAGTGAAACAGAAAGAATGATATGGTAGATTTAATTTAAGAGAATGAAGAAACCTTGAAGCAGGTAGGGTTCCCATGAGCTGATCAAATGGTTTAAATGGCTCTCCTGGGAAGAAATTTATTTCCAGATCAGCTAGATCTTTAAAATCAGAAGCAAAGGGAGCATAATGATATGGGTAGTACCTGAAGAAATAATAAAAGTAAATAGTAAGCAGATTAAACATAGCCAAGATGATAGTTCACCTAAAATGAAGGAACACTACTAGCAATTCACGTCAATTCTACTAAAGCAACTCAGCCTCATCAAGGCATCTAGTCTGTATTATGTTAAGTTGTTTCTAAAACCACAATGATAAGTTCCTGCTAGCAAACAGCATCAGGTGTTACACTCTTGAAGTGCAGCATTGAAGTTAAAAGATGTGCAACCTGGAAATTTTGCTCAAATAAGAACAGATGTGGAATGTGAACGGATACATTCATCAAGTTACACTCAACTAATTTAATACAATTAAGAAAAGAAGTAAAAAACACATTGTTTTTCACTATGTTATCATATTTGAAATGCAATATTATAAGGGGTGTCAAAATGAGCCAACCTGCTCATACGGGTTGACTCACCACAGGTAAAGTTGAAAATACGCGAGTTCAACCAGGCTCATTTTATGACAAGCCAAAATTTTCACAACCCAATTTAATCCACTAAGGTTGGTGGGTTAGGTGAGTTAACTCATTAACCCATATTTATTTTTTTGTACTACAATTTTTTTTTTTTCCTAATAAACAACTAAATTGCGGGACTGAAATACATTGGTGCAAAGTCAAGCTAAACATTGTGAAGTGACTAAATATCGCGAAAAAAGTTGTGACACGACAAACACTGTGGCATGGTAGCACGACGAACACAGTGGTGCGACAAACGCTGTGGTGCGACTGAAATGCAGTGGTGCAATGACACGACTAAGGTCGTGACGCGACTGAAACGCGGCAAATGCTATGGCGCAGCAAACTTAACAAACATGGTGACACAGTAATGTGGCGAACAGATGACAAGCGGCCCAAGTGTAATGGCAAATGCAGTGGTACGGTGGATAACTAATGACAAGCTTGAGTGAAGATTTGGCTTGTAGTGGTGTGAAATAAAGGTGGAGAAGTAGGATAACATCAATTAGGGTTACTAAATTATTATAATTATTTTTAAAATTTAAAATGAATGGTGGGTTACCATAACCTGACTCGAACACGTTTAACCCGTGAATTAAGTGAACCGAGTTCATTTTTAACCCATTATGGATAGAAATGAAAAAAATTGAATTCAACCCGGTTCAAACCTGTGGTAAACCGGGTTGACTCACGGGTTATAACCCATATTGACACCCCTAAAATAACTTATAATATTCATAGGAATATCTTATTAGAAAGTAAAAAACACATTATTTTTCACTGTGTTACTAACTGTATAGAAATATAAGAAATATCTAAAAATATTATCTTAGAATATTTTAAAGTATCTTAGATACTATCTTAGGATTTAATCCTTTATATTTTTATTTGTTTCCTTATTTAATAAAGATCTTTATAATCGATATCTTATTAAAATCAGATCTATTGGAATATGATTTATAGACATATGATATCATGTATATATTGTCATCGGTTTATATAAAATGACTTTGTTGTGTAGTCCATACACTCATAGTTTTCATCATCCCTTCCATGAATTATCTTTCTTTACACAAGGCCTGTGTTTGGCAAAACTAATTGAAAGCTGATATTAGAGTGGTATCATCCTCCATGACCTATTGTATCACTATAACACTGAAGCAAAATAAATGGAACTCAAATTAGTCACCTTTTTCCACCGTGTACTAATTTAGCTTGCCACTATAATTCATAATTGTCAATACTGTAGCCAACTTTTCCCAGAAGCATAGGCCCGAGCTTTCCCAAATACAATAGTACTAACTTTTTCAAGATGTAGTAGCCCTGACTTTTCCGAGATGCAATCTCCCTGACTTTTTCAAGATGTACAGGACCCAGGTAATCCCAGATGCGCTGACCCCAACTTTTTCCCAGATTGACTATCCCCAGCTTTCCCCAGAGACATTGGTTCCGACTTTTTCCCACCCAACTTTTTCCCAAATGCACTAGTCCTGCCTTTTACAGATGCACTGGGACCCTGGTTTATCTCAATTTTTTTATTTAAAATTTGTGGCAAAATGAATTATTTTCTCATAACCTAAAGTTTAATAAGCTTCAGTTTGCTCGAGAGGGAGTCCTAGAAATATGAAATATGTCTGAAGAGGTTATATTAGAATATTTTAGAGTATCTTGGATACTCTATTAAGAATTATTCTTCTTTTGTATTTCAATTTGTTTCCTTATTTAATTACGATTTTTATAATTACAGGAGAATATAATTAGAATTACAGTTAATAAACAGTGATTTATAAGCACATTATAACATGTATTTATACTCATCAACTTGTATAAAACGGACTCTGTAGTGTAATCCATACCCACAGTTTTCAACATCTCTTCCGTTTATTTTTCTCTCTTTCATGCATGTAAACACACCAAGTTGCCAAGTGAATCAGGGTAAAAAATGATAAACAAAAGTAACCTAAAAACTTATAAAATAAAAAAACTATCACTAACCACTTCCATGAGCAGACACCCTGGTAATAATACCGGCAAACCCAACAAAGGCCTTCCACATATTTCAAGACCTAAAAAGACAACTAAAACAATGAGCTGAATTCTAGCTCTAACAGAAGATATTAATGAGGATGAGTAGGATAATATTCACAAGAAAGCAAAATATTCAGAATCAACAAATCATCTATCTCTGTTAAGAAGGCACATGATATCTACTTCCAGTCCAAAATTAGATTTTCTGAAATATTTATCAAATAAGAAGTTATTCTTTGGTGTAACATTGAATTTTGAGTAGGATAATATTCACAAGAAAGCAAAATATTCAGAATCAACAAATCATCTATCTCTGTTAAGAAGGCACATGATATCTACTTCCAGTCCAAAATTAGATTTTCTGAAATATTATCAAATAAGAAGTTATTCTTTGGTGTAACATTGAATTTTGTTAAACCAATACCAACAGATCTAAACCCAATTGAAGACAACATACAGTTGGAGGGCATAGGCAGACTCCCTTTCCTCATTTGGAACACAGGCAGAGGGAACAGTACCAAAATTTCAAGAATCAAGACCTTATGAGTATAACCACATCAATTAAAAATAAAAGGTATACAAAAAAGGTCACCATCGGCATTTAAAAGATTAAATCACATGTGTGGGCATATTATGTGATCCAAGAACTGCAAAATTTTTTACAAGATTGGTCTTAGGTCAAACATAGAACTTACAATATCTTTCTTAATTTTATCAATCTCCTCCAGATTCGATACACCAAACTTTTCAGTATAATATCTTTCTTTGTATCCAGGCTCCCCTAATTTAACCTGAAAAAAAAAAGTAAAAAAAAAAAAAAAATTCAGTTCTAGGATTGATAAGCATTTCTAAATTCCTCATAGATTTGATGGGTCCAACATTGGCTTAGCCTCGCTGTCATAGACATGCTATCCTTAGTGTGTGTAAGGAAACACCAGTAGAATTACTTTTACAGTCATGAAAAGCAATTTTGGTGGTGTTTCTCTAGAAAGTCAACACATACATATTAAAATTAGCAAAGAAAAATACAGAAAATAATCAGGGAATATATCTTAATATTGAACCTTATCAACAAACGAGGCTCTGGGTTCTCCAAGCATTTCTCCTCTTGCCCTAGCTCTCATCTCTTCATTACTTTCTGCAGTCTGTAAATACAATCACAAGAATCACATGCCAGGAAGTAACCTATAAGAGCATATTGAAGGAACATATAGGTAAGGAATATCAGTTCATGAAATTGGTTAGAAAGCATAATACCAGCTGAATGCAAACTCGTTTCTGAAAGATTTGATCTTCATGAATAGCAATAAACTGGACAAATCGTTCCACTCTATCTAAGAAAACCTGTGATATGAAGAATTTCACATTGCAATACTCGTTGAAAAAGAAGCAATTCCTGATTGATGACTTAAGAGTTATATCCAAAGCACAAAACAAGCAACTGAAGTGAAAAGATAATAGCTGGAGAAGACTGCATCATGCTCAAGAACAAATTACAACCAAATAACATCCTAAAAAACAGAAAAATTATACAGCTTAGTTTGATTACAGAGAAAATAAATTTACCTCACCCGCATCGGTAAGATAACCACCTATGGAAGAAAAGTCATTTCTGTATATATGCATCAATAAATTTATAGCCCCCTGAAATAGTAGAAAGTTTATTAAAGATACAAATAGAAGGAGACAAATATGCAGTGGAACATAAATCATATTCTAAGCATGTTAAGATCTCTCTTATCCCAAATATAGTAGTAACAATGTGTAGATTGCAAGGTCATATTTTTTGTTTCAAGCTACAGCTTAGCATAACACTGTCTTTTGGATGCTTACCTCCCTGATCTCTAATGTTGGCATATGTGGAAGGAAATCATTGCCAACAAAGAAGCAGAGAAATACAAAATCATCCACTACTCGTTCAAAGTCAATCTCAAAAGGAGGGTTGGGTATCTTCAATTCAAATTCCAAATATTCACGCAGAACCCAGATGTTAAGAAACTGTAAATAATATGAAATAGTTTAAAATTGAAAACAAACAAAATATAAAGATTCAAATCAACATGCTGGACTCTAATTCTCAAACCTGATATTTCTTCTTGTGAATTCGGCTATCATCAGGAGTATCTAAGTCCCCAACTTGACAATCAACTGCAAAATGGCCAACTTGGCCACATGAAAAACACTTATCCTGTTGACCAGGTAAAGTAACTACCTGTTGATGCATTAAGTAATCATTTGAGACAATCCATAGAGATCAATGAGCTAATAATATCATAAAAACATCTACACATCGAATACTAACCTCCCTCAATATTGAGAAGTGAACCTCATGAGTAGCTAGTGAGAGCATAATCAAATCAGCGTCCTGGTTTAAGGATTGTATTATGCAAATATCAAGGAAAGGACAAAGACACCAAAAGCAGATAAAATAAAAATTCAAAACACGACAAAATCTCACCAATCCATACAAACAATGTCGGGTATTTGGATTGAAACCAGGAAGGTTGCGTTGTAACCGAATGTATTCCATTATTTTATGTTCTCCTTCACCGTACATATTTGAATCAGACAATATAACCTTCAAATAATTAATCATCCAATGCAGTCCCGTAAATAAATATATAGAGACAAAGTATCCTGAAAATCAGATGTATAAAGAAAAAAATATTCGGATTACTCCACAGATAGGAATCATCCAATCTTGAAGGTACCAAGTAGCATAGAGAATTAATTGGATAAGGTGTCAATTACACCTTTGTATTCCGCCAGCTAGGACTGTGATTCAATCTAGTCTGTATATAATACTGAAGAGCCACTGACAGGGCTGCCATAAATTGAGTTCCAGGAGTAATGACATTTGAGTCTGAAGTCTCAGACTTGTCTTTAGAAGACAAAACTTTCCCCTCACTCTCAAATTCTTTCCTCAGCCTTTCCTCTTCAGCTTCCTATAATGTCACAAGGATAATAACTCAAAATTCATCATAAAAAATGTAAGAGTCCTTTAGTATGAGACAATATTAAAATTCTTACAGCCTCAGCTGCATCTTTTGCAGCTCGGAAACGCCGAGAACGTTGCTGATTCATTTTGGCTCTTGGTGCAACACCGTCTGTAAATCACAAAGTAAGGAAGAAAGAGGACCAAGCTGAAGGGGTAAGATACAAAGGAAATGAAAAGTGAATTTATCATGAAAAGACCAGCCTACCACAAGACTCAGTCTGAAATCGCAAATCTTTTGCACTTACAGCAAGGCCTAATAACTAGTAATACCTTAAATATGTTTAGATATTTCTTATACCTATTTTACTATTTTTGCTAAGCTGTTACATCCTGTAATATTTGTAAGAATTTGTTACATTCCTTATTTTATATATATACTACAGGATAAAAATGTGCAAAAGTGTGCATTGAATATATCATGTTGTAAGATTTGATTTGCCAGAATCAGTTTTAATGTGGATTATGTTAAGGTAGACAAAGGTCTTGTCTTGACCTTCATCTTGCATACTTATTTAACCAGTTAAATTCTGCAACTCTTGAACCTTTTACCATTTCAGATTATACTGTTCTAGCTTAGAATAGGAATAGCTTACTAAGATGTTCAACTCTGTTGGGTCTATAGATATAGGTAATCTTTCTATTATTACATTGTATTGAGTTTTTTATTCATTAAATGTGAAATTGAGTCAAAGGGGTACTCCATCCTAGAGGAATACTCTTGGTTTAGCATGTGAAAGAGAAAAATACTTGTGTGGTCGTGTCATGTGAGTCAAGTTCATTTTGCTAGAAAACAAAAAAAAATGTACTAGAGAAGAAATGAAGAGTGAGTCAAAAGGGGATAAGACATCCTAATATACCCAAAGGTATTGGAAACCAAACCTCTGACTGGATATTGATACATTTATTAGGACTGAATTCTATAATTTTACATCAAGCTGTAAAAATCCTAGGGTTTAACATCATAAATCAGACACCTCCATAACGAATCATGTTAATAAGTTAATACTACATAACAGAAAAAATGAGAAGAAAAGAAAAGAAAAAAAAAAACACATCATAAATGTATACTCATACCAATTGCAAGGAAGAGAAGCTTCCTTGGACGAACCAACCAATAGAGATGATCAATGTAATCAAATACTGATTTAAACACATCATCATAGGTAGCAGGTGCCGGCTGCATTCAAAGATTTATCAACGATAGTATTGTAAGTTCAGGAAAATCACTTAGCAAACTCAAACAGAAACATCACAGCACATCAGTTCACAAAATAATACCTAATAGAATTAAATCAAGAAAATCAGCACCAGAGCTTCAAAGGTGAAGCTGAAGCCTAAATTTGGAACTTCATATTCCATTCAATCTTGGAAAATTAGAAACTTTATGCACTAACCTTGCCATCAGGGTGAAAACAAGGGTGAATAATCCCGTTCATGTCCAAGAACAAGTTATCGAATTCCATTCCGTTGGGATTAGGTTTAGATGCATCGGTAGGCAACGGAAGGCCATCTTCGCCAACTGTGGGTTCATCCTCGACTACGTCGGCGATGGACAGCGGGTAGCGGTCGGCCAGCCACCTATAAAAAGCTGGCACTCCCATAGTGACAGTAACAGCTGAAGATGTTTGATTGGTTAGTAGAGGGAGAGTGAGAAGAAAGTTTTGGATCCAAGTCCCTTCAGAATTTGGTGTTTTGTTCAGCTTATCAGAGACATCTATATTCAATAGTCAAACCAGATAGTTCTTGAGCTGAAACTTACTTTTAATATCTCATTTTAGTACTGAAAGTTATTTTTATTGTTATTGACACTATAATCAATTACACTTAACTTTCATGTAATTTTCTCTTAAAGTATTACTGGAAACAACTTTTATAATTTTATGTGTTTAGTTTTTAGTGATAATATTTTTAACTTTTTTTAAAACAATAGGTTCATTATTGATTATCTTGAATATTTCGTACTTGAAAGTGAAGGTTACTATCTTACTCCATGACATGATTATTAATTATATAATTTAATTAATGAATTATTTTCATTTTTTTATTAGTTAAAAATTGAAGTATCACAAAATTTCGTTAAAAAAATTTTAAAGTTTGTTTATTTTGTTTTGTCAACTGAGACACATGTTATTGAAGTTCCTGTCTTGTGTTTTTATTGATTTTCTTTTTTTTCTTTTAACTTTATTTATCTTGGATCTTGATATTTTTAATTAATTTTTATTTTTATTTTAAAATTGTTTAATTTTTCTCATATCTTACATATAATATTCTTCTTTATGAATCTCTTGTCATTAATCATATTTTATATAATATATTAAAATATTGTAATTTTTCAATTTTTTTAACATCTAATTCTTTAACTCCTCAATTATACACATCAATTATATGATCAAATTGTATTATATGATCAAATTACAGTAACAATGTCAAAATAATTTGTAATAGATTTTCTCTTTCATACTAAGAAGATTTAATGGTCTAAATATCTTTTAACTGGTACACCTATATGTAAAAAGTTATATCTTATAATAAAGTTTTTTTTATTATATCTTGAAAGTAAAATAATTGTCAATATCTTTATTTTTAAATTATAAAATAACTTCTTATAAAAATATATAAGATCCTTGAACTATATTACTTAGGTTAATATTCTTACATCTTCATATTCACAGAGAACTCCACTCAGCCATTAAACACATATATGTGAAAAATTATGGAAATGTCAATTTTTTATATATATTTAAAAATAATTATTTCACCATATTAATAATTACATATAAACAAAAATATAAAAATTTATAATAAAAATATTAAAAAAATCAATATATAATAAAATTAGTTTTTATAAAATAATAATTTGTATTTTTTTTAATTTTTACCTAACTTTGTCTATTTACATGTTTTTCACTTTTTTTACTTATTTTTATATTTTTTTTCTCACTCATGAATGAACTTGTTCCTTCTCATTTATTTACATAATTTTTTATTAATTCTTGTAATTTTACTATCTATGTGTTGAATATTTTTTGCTCATTTTGCATTTTTAATAATTTATAAAAAAATAATGATTTTAAAGACAAATATTTAGTGATTATTACATGAAAAAAATATTTATAATTATTGTAGTTATTTTCTATGAGCATTTTTTTTAAACAGTGTGTATAATTCAACCTATATCTTCACTTTTCTGTGTGTTTCCCAGATTCTTCTATTGTGTTCTAAAAATATGGCATTTTAATTAACGCATAACATAATTATTTTTTTAAATACATGTTACCCACCTCTTTAATATATCAATTTTATTGTTTTAGATTTTAATTTACAGTTGTTATTTTAGTTTTATCAATAAATTGTTACTGTTTAATAATTTAACTTTTTTTATTCCTATATTTATGATAATAAAATAATCTTCATTTCATAAAATAAAAAATTTTAAATTTTAAATTACTTTTCATCATAGTATCAAAATTTAAACATAATAATACTTTTAAAATAACAACATTAAATAAAAGTTAATATAATTGAAAATTAGTTATAAACATTAATATTCTTATATTTAAGTTCATAGAGAGTATATAAGCTATTTATTTAAAAAAATTATAAAAAAATAACATTTCAAAAATATTATAATATTCATAAATAATTATGGATAAAAATAATTTTATATTAAATATATAAGTAATTCTTAGCATATATCTATTTATTTTAATTCCTTTCAAATAAAAATTTTAACATTACAAAATTAAACTGACAAAATAAAATTAAAGATTAAAATAAAATAAGTGAGAAATGAGTAAAATATTTAAGTCTTATTTTTCTAATATAATACGTTGTAAATATCATAAAAAAAATATGATATTTTACAACAAGACATTCTCAAAGTAGAGAATCTTGTATATTTTACAAATGTAATACAACAAGACATTCTCAAAATAGAGAATCTTGTCTACCGAATAGATATTTCAAAAAAGGTAAAATTTAGACTATAATAGGTATTCTGGAATATGTCCATAATTATTTTGAATGTTTTAGGAAAAAAATAATAATTATGGAATAAGTTTTTGGAGAAGTCAAAATTCTTCTGACTGAAATACATTTTTGTAACACTCAATCAAAATACTATTATGGGTTTATAAAAGATAAACAGACAAAAAAAGGTTAATTTTGAACTTATCTAAAATAAGTTGTAAAATGAGTTTTGCTAGAAGAAGAAGAAAAAAAAAAAATATTCTAGCCACATATGAAATCTTAGTTTTTCTTTTTGTTTTTATGCATCAATGTTACAACTTTGGATCTTGAAAAGTCGTCACCATCTTATTTTATCACTTTCCCTTAATATAATAAAATATAATAAGCTGTTTGACAACAGTAGCACCAATTCAATAAATTTCAGTCTTCCTCTCAGTTTTTGCTTCCTGTCAGAAGACATAAGAGTGAAGTTCTACTTGGTGATTCCAATCTCCATTTTTTTAGGGCTGTGAGTTTTGGTTTTGCTTCATATGTGCTCGATGTTTGTTATACTGATATGGTGTTTTCTTTAGTTGCTGGTTCTTGTCTTTGAAATATTATAATTGGGATGTTCATAACTTGTTTAAGGAATCAATAGGCACTGCTTGTCGTTTTTTGTGACTAATTACAAATTACAATTATATGATGCTAAAATCTATTTATATTCTTGGTCTGGCATGCAGACGTTCTTGAGTAGATAGATGGAACCAAAGTGTGCAATCAAGAAGGATGCAACTGAAGTAGAGCTATTTCTTTGTCCTGCTTTTACCTTACAAAAATTAGTTATTCTACTCTACCATGTATTCTCTTTTCCTTGTATGTTTAGTTGAAAAAATTATGAAATATTTTCTCTTCATTGTGCAGTTGATAGGGAATACCCCAATGGTATATCTGAACAACATCGTGGAAGGATGTGTAGCTCGCATCGCTGCCAAACTGGAGTATATGCAAGCCTGCTGTAGTGTCAAAGATAGGCATGGAAACCCTTGATTTCACAAACTAGAGCTATTTGGATCTATAAGGTTTAAAGATTTACATTTGAGGTTTTGTCATGATAATCTTCCTTTTCCCTCTCAGGATTGCATTGAGCATGATTGAAGATGCTGAGAAAAAGGGCCTTATTACACCTGGAAAGGTTGGCTATGTTAAAGTTCATTTACATATCTAGATTCTGGTGTGTAGATTCTTTGTGTTTGCCTCAGGCCTGTAACAATACGGTCATGCACTTCTGAATATGGCTTTTATTTGGACAAAAATGTTTTTCCAATTTCATCAGTAACAGTCTGTTTTCATTTGTATTTAAAAAAGAAAAATGTTTAGTTTTTAAATGCAACTAATAAGATGCTCAAATAGCCATGGAGAATAGCGCAAGATATGCAACAGAATGTAGAATTGAGAGGTTGGACAAGATGAAAATTGAAGAAGATAAGAAAAAAATATCAAATCTCCAAGCTCTTTCTGTGTTTTGATTTTTTAAAACACATGTTTTAAAAATATTTCTTAAAACTTAAATCAGACATGGGAAAGAAATTGATTGCTGAGTAGTGTATAATTGTTTTAGAAAACAGTTTTTGAAACCAAAAGCGAGAAAGGAATTAAACAAGTTCGAAATGTCCTTCAACTTTGGCCTGTAATAATAATTTTGGAGTTTTGGACAATATTGTGTTCAAATCAATCATAGTCATAAAACATGGTTTATGAAATTTTTTCCAATATTACTGATTATAATGCTGAAGAATTAGGCCTTTCCACTCCTCAGACACTTATTATGTTGTCTTTATTGTTGAAGATATTATCTAACTAAGTTTAATATTTTTTACTGATGGTTGAAAAGACTATTCTGATTGAGTATACAAGTGGTAACACCGGCATAGGATTGGCATTCATAGCAGCATTGCGAGGCTATAAACTTCAGGTGACTATGCCAGCCTATGTGAGTCTTGAGAGAAAAATTATACTGCGAGCCTTTGGAGCTGAGGTATATCTTACAGACCCTGCCAAAGGAATTGCTGGGGTTATTGAGAAGGCAGAAGAACTACAAGCCAAGTCGCCTGATAGTTATATGCTCAACCAATTTGAAAATCCTGCCAATCCAAATGTATTCTCATTATTCACAAAATATTTCTAATTTGGTTGCCTTGTGTTAAGAAAAATTGCATCTGATTAATATGTCATCCTTGTAGATTCATTATGAGACAACGGGCCCTGAGATGTGGAGAGACTCAGGAGAAAAAATTGATGCTTTGGTTGCAGGGATAGGAACTGGAGGATCAATGGCAGGTGCTGGAAAATTCCTCAAGGAGAAAAATCCAGAGATCAAGGTTTATTTTTTTGTCGTGCATACTTTCTTTGCTGCGAGTGGTATGGGAATATGTTTTCTTATGCTAACTTTATTTCTTATTCATTACCCCCAGTTGTATGGTGTGGAACCAGCTGAAAGTGCAGTTTTGAGTGGAGGACAGCCAGGTGATTTTACCATTCTATATATTTCTCTCTGGTCTTCTATTGCTATTTCATTGCATTGGATTCCATCATCATATTTATGGATAAAAGTAAAGACAACCAAGACTCATTGGTTATATTATTTCCATTTCTGTATCATGATATCTAAAAGTAAATTTGTTATATGGGCTGAACAATAGAATTGGAACCAAATCCAAATTGGAACACAGGCCATAAAACATGCTGTCAAAAGAACCTTAGTGAACAAATCTTCTATCTGGTCATGTGTGCAGATGTAAAACTTGGACAGAACCTGCAGCTACCAAGAAGCAGTCTGCAGGTCTGTCAATTTCAATGTGCTCAGACCTGGAGTATGGCTCTGGATTTTTTGAGAGATAAGTAAAATTCAGGTAGTAATATGGATAACAGTGGGAAGTTTAAGTGTGGTGATTGTGCATACAGAATCTCTTGAAGTTAGACATGAAGACAAACATTTTTAATATCAAATTGGTTATTGGATCATTCTTTGGAAACTATTTGAGATATGCTGAACATTAGAATTTATGTTCCATAAGCAATGGCCTAAAAAACAATGAAACTAAGGGAATACGTTCAGACATTTTTCTAGTGTTTTCTCATTTGGACATGTCCTGTCAAACTGTTGGCGGAACTTTATATTGGAAGTTGGAAGCTGGACACAGTCTTCCTTATTATTATTTACATTTAATTGTAATTTAGTTACTAATGTTATTTATTAAAATGTGTCTTCCATTAGATGGCATGCACAAATTCTTAAGAAATTATTCTTTAATCTTTAGCACTCCTTAGGCAACCACTAGAGGCTGCTGTTTACTGACTTTTTTTTTTCATTTGCACGCATGTAAAAGGTAAGCACCTGATCCAAGGACTTGGTGCTGGTATCATTCCCAGAGTTCTGGACGTCAATATCCTAGATGAAGTTCTTCAGGTAGCTCTCAACACTAATACATTGGCATTCAATTTTCAATTTTGGTCCAAAAACTGGCTACTTCCTTTTATTTAAATCAATTTTTGCTTCGAATACACTTGAATAATGTATGAAGATCTATCTCACCATTGAATGGCCTAACAATATGGAATAGTGGAAATGAACATTTGTTTAGTAATGGGTATTGATTGTATTTTTCAAATATTTCATAATGTACTCTATTCAATTGTTTATGCGGAATTATTTTTGAAGGACTCAGTGACAGATCTTCTTAGGAGCTGAGGGGGCCGTGGCCCCCCAAAGTTTTGTATCTGTCATGTAATTTATGATTTTAACCCTCCAAACTTAATGAACATTTAATATATTTGCTTGTATATTTACAATTTTATCCTTTCTGTCCCTCCTCAGTTTTTTAACTCTCATATAATTTATGATTTTGTCCCCCTCAAACTTAATGATCATTTAATATATTTAAATATATATCTATAATTTTATCCTCTCACTCTTTCATCTTCTTTCTTCCTTTTATGTTTATTTATTATTTATTAATAATATATTATTTGTCCCTCAAAATCAATGGTCAAGATCCGCCACTGGAAGAGCTTGTATTTTTTTAGTAGTAATACAGAGGTTATTATCTCTTTGAGAAATATATTTCTGATCCTTATGTGAAGGAGATTTTTAAAAGGTTTCAGATTAATTAATTAAACATAGTAAGCAAACATATATATACGGAAAAAAAAAATACTAGATCATTAATTTATCCTTTTGTTTCTCAGTATTTGAACAGGACAAACTCGATGAGCCAAAGTAGCTCATCATTTTGGAACGAGCCATCTTCATTCGAGAAAATAGACTTACTGTCTTATTGAATTAACATTGGGTCATGCATACTCCAACCGTGCTCTGCCTAAATCCAACTCTTCGTTGTTTTCTCTTTCTCATATTTGATACTCGAAGTAGTTTTGTTGATTTTTACATGCCTCGTTGTGTGTCAACTTTGGCAGTTATCATAAACCTGGCATATAGGAGGAATGCTAGCAATATTCTGTCTTACTCTCTTTCATTAACACTCTCTTCACCATTGACTTAAATTATTGAAATTACATCGTTTGGTTGGTCTTATTTCTAAATCAGAAAGTTATTATGAGAAATGAGACTAGTAAAAATTTTTATTTCTAATAAACTTCAGTCAATAGTAGGTGAGAATGTGAGAAGAGAAGTCTCATATTAAAGAAATTATATGTTGGTGCTTACTTTTCTTATTATAAAAGGAGCACCATGTCTACCTTGAAAATCACTCTAAATCTCTTCTTTCTACTAGTGCATTGTATAGTAGTTGAGTTATCTTATTTTTGAGATAAAATACTATTATTGTTTTCTCCTTAGATTTAAAGAGAGGATTGTAATTTCTTCCGGTAGTAAAATTCTATTATTGTCTATTGCTTGTTTTGTTTCTCTTTTCTCATCTTTTATTTTAGTTATGAGTTCTTATGCAGTTATTTTGATTTCCTAATAGTGATACCAGAGCCAATAGGTTGTGATATTAGTCTTTTGCTGCATAGTCAATAGAATAATGTTGGAGTTCTTAACAGTGATATCAGAGCCACTAGGTTGCGATATTAGTCTTCTGCTGCATAGTCATTAGAATAGTGTTGGAGAAAATTCTTAGTATACTCTGTGGTTAGTGTTGGAGAAAATTCTTAATATGCTTTGTGATTGCGGTTAATCTGATCTTCCATATTAGAAAAGAGTTATTCTTGTTACTGGATATTATTTGGTAGTGTGATAGTGCATGTAGGAAAAGTTCTGGTAAGGAAAGACTTGATATTTAAACGTGTCCATTAGTGACCCACCTCTCTTTCCTGGGAACTTACTTGATGTACTGGTTCACGGAAGATTTAAAATCTAAGCGTGTCCATTAGTGAACCAATACACCCACCTCTCTTTCCTGGGAACTTACTTGGTGTATTGGTTCACGGTCTATTGTTGTTGTTCCATTAGACAATACTATTCATAGTGAGGACTGCATAAGTCAGTTTGGAATCATGACAACAAAATATGTGATAGAGAAGTTTAGTAGAAATAGTTTCTCATTGTGAAAATTGAAGATGAAGGCAAATTCTTGAACTATGCTAACAATATGAAGGGGTATTTCCTGTGAATTCCACTATCCACAAGGTTATTGTTAGCGATGATACAAGAAAGGATTGGTGTGCCCTAACCAAAAGACTTAAAATGCACAAGGTTATTGTTAACGATGATACAAGAAAGGATTGGTGTGCTCCAACCAGAAGACTTAAAGAAAAATAAAAATTGGTTTGCAGGTTGACCAAATCTCTGTATGGTTTAAACTGGGTGTCCAAGTATTAGTAAAGAGATTTAATTCTTAGCCTTGATTACAACAGACTAAGTTCATACTATTGTACCTACTACAATAGATTTGATGAGAATGATTTTATCATTTTATCGTTGTATGTGGATGACATGTTGGTGGTAGGCTCCAACAAAGTTCGAATCCAAGTTTTGAAGGCACACTTGACTAGGAAGTCTGATATGAAGAACTAGGGACCACCAAACAAGATTTTAGGGATGCAAATTCACCAAAGCAGAAAAGATAGGAAGATATGGTTTTATCAGAAGAATTACTTACTGAAGGTCTTGCAGTGCTTCAACATGCAAGGGTGTAAGCCAGTTTCTACCCCAATTTCTATCAAGTTATCCTAAAGTATAATTCCTAGCAATGAAGCAAGGAGAATGGAAATGTCTCGAGTTTTGTATGCATTGACAGTGGAAAGTCTTATAAATACTATAATCGGTACAAAACCAGATATTGCACAAGCAGTAAGAGCGGTTAATAAATAAATGGAAAATTATGGTGGAAAGCATGGGTATTTTCAAGAGAATTCTTATCAAAGGAACCTTGGATGTTATATTATGTTTCGGAGGATCAAAACTAGTTGTCAGATGCTATGTTTGTTCAAGTTTTGCAGGTGATCTTGATGAGTTTACCTTTGTTGGAGAGACAATAACTGGTTATCCAAGTTATAGGATATTGTAGCTTTGTCTATTGCAAAAGTTGAGTACATGGCAGCCGCTCAAGCATGTAAGGAAATTATTTGGATTAAGAGAATAATAGAGGAACTCGGGCACAAGTAGCAACAAATTGTTGTGTATTGTGACACTCAGAGTGTCTTGCATATTTCAAGGAATCCTACCTCGTATTTCAGGATAAAGCAAGAAGAACCTAGCATATGTTATGACAATCGGTTAGCATTGACAAGTTCACATAGAGGCGATCCCTACTGAAGGTCTATTTTAATAATAACATGGAAGGCAGTAATAATGTATTGTGAATATTTGATTAATTTAATCAAAATCTTCAAGTGGGAGATTGTGAGAAGGTGAGAAAAATCTTCAAGTGGGAGATTGTGAGAAGGTGAGAAAAGAAGTCCCACATCAGAAAAATTATATGTTGGTGCTTACTTTTCCTGTTATAAAAGGAGTACCATATCTATCTTGGAAATCACCCCAAATCTCTTCTTTTTTCTTTCTACCAGTGCATTGCATAGTAGTTTAGTTCTCTTATTTGTGAGAGAATATTATTATTGTTTTCTCCTTAGATTTAAAGAGGATATTGTAATTTTTCCGGTAGTAAAATTCTATTATTGTCTATTGTCTGTTTTGTTTCTCTTTTCTCATTTTTTATTTTAGTTGTGAGTTCTTATACAGTTATTCTGATTTCCTAACATAGTAAAGATTGTTAGTGAGTGTTTTTACCATTTTTGTGACATATTATGTATAATTAATAAAGCAACATATATTGACATTAATTAACTATTATATGTGATTCACCAATCTTCAATGACAGTGAGGTGTATTAATGCTAAATTTTTTATACTTGAAACATGATTCGATATTATGTAAATTACACAATGTTTTCTTTTCTAGCTACTAATATATATTATAAGGGATTCTAAACAAGGTTTTATGAACTGCAGGTGTCAAGTGAAGAGGCCATAGAAACGGCTAAGTTGCTTGCCTTGAAAGAAGGATTGCTGGTATGGTAACGATAATTTGTGATTCAGCTGTTGACTTTACTGGAATTTTCGTATGGTTCTGCCTGATAGATATGAACACTGTACATTTGAAATTGCAAATATGCAATTATTATTTTTCATGTTGCTTATACGATCAAGTCTTCTGCAGATGGGAATTTCATCAGGAGCTGCAGCTGCTGCTGCAATAAAGGTGGGGAAGAGACCAGAAAATGCAGGGAAGCTCATTGTTGTAAGTTTGCAATCTTTGATAAGTTTGTAAATTTCCAAAAGTTGCTTAATGTTTGCATTGAATGGCAGATTATTAGTTAATGCCAATGCTGAATCGCTGTTGTGCAGGTGATTTTCCCCAGTTTTGGAGAGCGTTACTTATCTTCTCCGCTGTTTGAATCCATTAGGCAAGAAGCTGAACAAATGACATATGAATAAGGTGCATAAATAGCTGAAGTTAGTACTCATCGAGTACTTGTTTAGCAAGAACTACTGTCAGTAGTTTGTCTAAAATAAGTTGAATAAACAAACACTTGGATTGAAAACAGATTCAAAATTAGCCCAAAGTCACTTATCTGAGATTTCGAAAGTTGTTTTGAGCTCATCCCAACACAAGCAAAATAATCAGAGTTTAACTTTCATGCATCATTGTTACAAAAATTATACTCTCTCAACCAATCAGAAATCATATGACAATGTACAAATATATTACACTATCGATTATATACTATTTACTCAAATCAAAGCTCTGGTAAAATGCAAGGCCAAATAAGTTAAAACCAAAAATCAAATTCTTTCAAATGGAGCTTAAGGTCAGAAAACCATAAACAGTATCAAGGTTAGGAATTTTAACCTAAGCAAAAGGAGTTTAACTAGTGTTGTACATGGCAATGATTTGAACACAAAACATGAAACTTTCAGCGTGTTTGGAGGTGTCAGGATTCCACTTAGGGCAAAAGCTGTATGGTTGGAAATGCGTGTTTCTTTATCTCTAAATGTGGTTTCCAAACACACCCATATAAAAAATGATAAGAAAAACCTATATGTTCTTATGTATTAAGTAGTTATCAAGATGGAATTAAACTCTCAAGAATGAGACCTACAGTGTGCTTGCATTTCATTATCATAGTTAGCTAAGTAGTTGATTACACGGAAGTTAGTAGTAATAGTCCACAATGTCCTTGTTGATCAATCTATGTCAAAGTCAAAAACAAATCCTTGGGCTCTTCATGGGTTGGGTATGAATATGGTCATAGAAAAGGTTGCAACCTCAAATTTGACATCAAGTTGCAGGATATTTTGCACAAACTAACTTTTCCATTCATTAGCAGTTACTTGGCTTTTTTTTGTTTGAAAGAGCAGTAACTCTTGTATAGGAAATACTATTGTCCTGTCCATAAAATGTTTGGTTGGCATGAGTTTAGAAACAAAAAAAATAAACTCTTAATTTTTAAATTAGAAAAGTAGTTATATATTTGAAAGAAAAAAATATTATAAAGAGGCTTACATCAGTGCCTCTACCACATCTATTCAAATTCGTTAAAAATGAAATGAAGAACAAATAAAAAAAATGCTGTTTTCTTTTATTCCAAGCAACTGTTTAAGGTGGCTTGAGTAGAAGATGATTAGTGTTATTGATGTCCTTATTTCTCACAGTAAGTAACACACTTCCCAAGTGATGTTTGAATAAATAAAAAGTCATATTTTTAAAAAAATTTAATGAAAGAAAAGATAAAATAAATACATTTTATTTTATTCTAAGACTAATTATTTTAAATTAAAAAAAAAACTTCTTTAGAAACTATTGAATTTACTTTCATTATTTTTTTTCTTGTGTCTTTTTACATATGGCTCCCGTGTAACAATTTTATCAAATTCCAATGACTTTTTATATTAAAAAATAATTCTAACTTTTCTTTAAAAAGAAACCGAACAAAAAAATCGTACGACCATATTTTTTTCCCATATCCACAAAAAAAATGTCTAAAAATGTACCTCCACTAATATATTATGGTTAAAGAAAAAGACATTTAAATGGAAAAGACCGTCTGAGGTTTCCATTCAGAATTGGATATGTCATCGATCGAGAGTTCCCAATTTTTTTTATTAAAAGAATCTGCCTCTTTTTGGCTAACCATTTTTTTGTCAAAAACTCACTCTCATCGTCTTTATTTATTTATATATATATATATATATATATATATATATATATATATATATATATATATATATATATATATATATATATTTATTGACGATGATTATCATGATGTTTCCTTTCTATATTTTTGAGAGTTTTGCAACTGCTATTTATATCCACTTGTTTATTTTGGATAATTAAAGTGTGATTTCAGATCATTGTGAGCATGTTTAATTTCAGGAATTTATTATTTTAAGTTGAAATAATAACCTTTTTGTAGAAACATAAATCATGTCATTTTATAATCAATTTTAATTAAAAACAATTTTCCTTAAAATCATTTGTCAAACTTTCATCTAAAATTGCATCAGCATGTTTGAAAAGAGTGGAAGAGACCCATTTAATAAGATAAATCATGTCTCAATAGAAATATATCACCAAAATTTAAGTCCTCCAAACTCAAAAGTTATATACTATCTCCACTGTATATAGAAACAAGTTGATATAATTTGTTTGGCATCCAAAAGCCAAGATGCCTAGAAATTTGAAATGCTAGTTGTTACTTAAAAATAAGAACATGAACAATGTATTTCTTAGTCGGTTTGGTTCTTATGAGAGAAATAAAGAAAATGAAAATAGCAAAAAAAAGTAAAAAAATTCAATATTTAATGATTTGATAGAATAAAAATATGTGAGGAATAGAGAGATAATATTTTTAATTGATTTAATAAAAAAAATAAAAAGATAGAAAAAAATTAATAAAAATATGATTAACTTTTTTCCCCTTCCATCAAACATATAATATTAATTCTCTATCTCCCTTCTTTCTTTTGGGTCTACCAAAGAAGCTAGTAAAAGCTTGAAAATCATATATATATATATATATATATATATATATATATATATATATATATATATATATATATATATATATATATATATATATATATTTACAAAAAACATAAACCAAGCATTCAAGGGACGTGAGTCAAGTGGCAGGAAGGAGCCGTCATTGGTGTTGTTGTCTTGTGGTTGTGGGCGTCCGTAACAGAGCTCCTGTGCTTGCAAGACAAAGAAAAGATTATATTTGAAGTAGATATTGGATTCTTGTGCCAATGAAATATGTTTTAGAAAACTCCAAAGAAAAATTCAAAACCTACTTTTTGGTTTCAAGTGGGTGCAATGTGTCTATGACGTATATTTCTTGCATAAAACACCTCAAATCCTTTATTATGTCACTCTCTTTCTGCAACTTGTTCAATTGTTGCTGCAACCGTTAAATCGGGAAAACCTTTTCTCGGGTAACAAGACTTGTAGGTTTTCGGAATTTCTGATTGGGTTATCCATTATCCGAACAACGTTTGTAATTAGGTTCAGATTAAGGACGTAACAATTGAAGTGTTCCGGATATGGCCAAGAAAGAACGTTAAATTATATTTACAAAGCACGCCCTATGCCACTCCTTCGAGGCTTTTTGTAGCCACTAAAATAATCCTTATCTGAAACAACAACTTACGAACCCATGTCCATGAGAACCAGCATCCGTCATTAAAACCAAGATAACCTATCTTAACGAGCAACTTGTCCCACTATGCCCAGACCTCAAAGGGATAAATGGTTTTCTATTTTCGTGCATTGTGGAGTACGTACACAATTATTGAATTGTTTATTGTTTTGCGTTTTCTTGATAATGATTGGCGAGCTTTGTTCTCTGAGAAAAGACTTTGACAGGGTTCTTTATAATTCGTAAAGGGATCCCAACTGGCACATGTAGTCAATCTATTCAGTATTCCACACACCCCTTTGGTGAAGAATCATAAGGTCATTAAAGGTCCTACCTAAATATCTCTTTTCATTTGTTTTCTTAACTAATAAAGCTCTTTGGTTCAGCTTGCAGGCCTCTAACATGGAGCCACAGTGTGCAATCAAGAAAAATGTCACTGAAGTAATATGATAACCTTTTCTTTACACTCTTAGCTATTCATCATCAAATGTTGTTAAAAAAGTTCAAAGTTACAATCTTTCTTGTGCAGTTAATAGGTAATACCCCAATGGTATATCTGAACAACACAGTGGAGGGGTGTGTAGCCCGCATTGCTGCTAAGTTAGAGTCCATGCAACCCTGCTTCAGTATCAAAGATAGGCATGTCACATGACACTATTTTACAAACTAGAATCAGGGTTTCATTTCAGAAAGTTTAATTATGATATTCTTTTTTTGCACTCAGGACAGCATTTAGCATGATCAAAGATGCTGAGGATAAAGGCCTCATTACACCGGGAAAGGTGAGTGAGTCACTGATATCTATCTATCTCTCTATATATACATATATATATATATATATATATATATATATATATATGATATAGATATATATATATATATATATATATATATATATATATATATAGAGAGAGAGAGAGAGAGAGAGAGAGATAGATAAATTTTTAGGTATCAATTTGGATCTCTCCTTCGCAATTTTCACTCCACCCAACTGAAACATCAGCTTTTCATGCATAGTATCACTGTATTGAAGTAGGAGAGAATGTATGGTCTTCGTTCTTGCGGGGAAGATCCATTTTAAACCTATCTGGATATGTTTTTTTCTTGGTGGTGGAGGGAGTTTGAAATTGAAGGAGAAACTTTCATACACCAAGTGTTTAAAACCAATCAAATTGTTTTGACAATGATCACAACAAATTCTTTACAGACAATTTTTTGTTTTTTACAAAATTTATCATTTTTAATTTAATTTATTTATTTATTCTTATTAAAATTGAACTGAATAAAGTCAAAACACACTTTCAACTTGTTGGACCTCGTAAAATTTAATAATATTTCAATCGTAAAATTTAATAATATTTCAAATGTTAATAAGTGGTGAATATTTACGATTATATCAAGACTAAATAATATATTATTAAGAAATAATAAATAAATATAAAAAAAGAAAAAATATAAAAGGGTGAAAAGATAAAATTATAGATATATACTTAAATATATTAAATGATCATTAAATTTCGGGAAAACAAAATCATAAATTATATAAGAGCTTACAAGACCGACGAGAGGTGAAGTTACAATGTAATATACAAGTAAATATATTAAATGTTCATTATATTTAAACATCCGCTACTAATAAAATAATTTTTTTTTTACTTTTATAATGATAATGTGTAATATCAACTGTTATAGCCACGTTTTAGTTATGTTAAATTATAGTTTATTCTATTAATATACGTGTGAGGGTGACTAATTTATTTAACTATTTTTATAAGAAGTTTATAAGGCATTTACTACAATCAAATTGATTACAGAAATAACGATTTATACGATTTTGGTTATGCATGTGACTATAAGATTCTTTCATATATATAATTAATTTGTAGTTGTTTTATACTTACGATTAAATAAAAATTCAATTTTTAGGATTGTTTAAAACTCGAAAAATTATTAAATACTACATAGCAACAAACTATTTTGTTATTATTGATCAAATAAAAAAACTTAAAATAAATTATAAATTGTAAATATTTTAAGAAGTTATTAAAACTAGCTGTTATAACTAAAATGAAAACAAACCCAAAAAAAACACTAAATGGTTCTATATTATTATAGTGCTATTACTCTATGCATTATAGATAATAAAGTATTATTAACTTTTTTGTAAATAAAAAAAAATTATATTCTATAATAATTAGTTAAAATCATATATGAAAATTCCTCTAAGATCACCTGATAATTTTTCAAGAGTTCTTATTGTCCCAAGAGAAAAATGAAACTCAAACCTATCTTTAATAGCAGGAATGAGACATGGTTTATGGTTAAATATGTTGGGTAATTTAAGTGTGAGTTAAGTTCTAAGTTGAGTAAGAATGAAAAAAGTTAAATAATATATAATTTTTACATTTGGATTATCTATCATATAATTCAAATGTGAGTCTATTCATATTAGTATATTTTCTTTGAGTTCACTGGTGATTCTTTCCTTTACTGTTATTCACCGGAAGACGCTTACTTCACATATTTTATCCATCCATACTTACTTGACTCACTTTGACTTTCGATACCATTTATTAGGTCTTTTCAAAGAGTATTTAGAGGTAAAAAATACATAAGATCAATCCACACAAGAATTGCACTCTCAATCCAATCTTTGAGTCATATTTTTCACATGTTAACTCAACTTTTTCATTCTTACTACTCACTCGATTACCAATAGATTACCAAGAATATATGCCCTTTACTTGGACAATAATCTAATTCAAATTCCATTCCATGACGTGTTCTTCAAGTACTTAATATGAAATTTATTGCTGAGTTTCTGCTTTTGTGTTTTGATTTCCCTATAATGGTTGACAACAAAGAGTGTTCTTGTGGAGGCTACAAGTGGGAACACAGGCATTGGAATGGCATTCGTAGCAATTTTGAAGGGCTACAAGGTAATAGTGGCAATGCCAGCTTCGGTGAGTCTCGAGAGAAAAATTGTGCTTCTAGCCTTTGGAGCTGAGGTGCATCTCACAGACCCTGCCAAAGGGACCGATGAAGTTATTAGGAAGGCAGAGGAGATAGTGAATAACACCCCCGACAGCTATATGCTCCGCCAGATTGATAATCCTGCCAATCCAAAAGTACAATCTGTTCCATATTCATACCTGCATATTTTGATTTGAGCCTGTTATAGCTGTTATTATTATATGATTGATAATTCATGGAGATATACTGAATTATAGATTCATTATGAGACTACTGGGCCTGAGATATGGAGAGACTCGGGAGGGAAAGTTGATGCTTTGGTTGCAGGGGTAGGAACAGGGGGTACAATAACTGGTGCTGGCAGATTTCTGAAGGAGAGAAACCCCAATGTCAAGGTGGAATTCTTTATCATTTTACCTTGCCCTCCATGATTTCAGTAAAATACGGTTTTAAGGAACCAAAACTAGCTTTTATGCTAATTTCGCCCTGGTTTTGGTCCCAGTTGTATGGCGTAGAACCAGTGGAAAGTGCAGTCCTGAGTGGAGGACCGCCAGGTAAATTTACCATCATACATATGCCCTCGTTCTATTTTATATTTTCATTCTCTCTGTGTTTATTCTACAAACAAAGCTGGCTATGACATTTAACTAAAAGGCTGTTGAAAATCTGTTATACACAAATGTTTATTTTATTATAATTTTAGTCCTTATTTTTTTCATTGATGGTTATGAAAAAACATAAATCATCAAAATCTAATTATAATAATCTGCCAAAACAGTATGTAATATCAAAAACATTTATATTACTAAAGATAAAATTGATTCATCTCTATCTAATGTAACCAAGGTTTAATTGGGTTGAATAGGTTTTGCAATTGAATTGGCAGTCGCGACCATACTGAGTTATAAATTAGGCATTATTAGGTTGATTCATCAAAATTTGTTAAAAAGAGAAAAAAAACTAACCCACCAAATAAATAAAAATAAAATAAATGAAAAACTAGGATATACATTAAAAATAAAAAAAATCAAATAAACCATAATGATAATATGATAAAGTTCCAAATATCTCAATTTTATAATTAAAAAATATATATATATATATATATATATATATATATATATATATATATATATATATATATATATATATCAACTCGACCATATTACTAGATTGTACTTGATTGAATTATACAATTGAAAGATTTAGTGCTGCCATTCAATCTAACACATTGAGATGAGTCTACTTCATCGAATTCAACCTGTATTGACATTCATTCTTAAAATATTAAACCTAAAAACAATAATATTTTAGTTCACTAACATCAGTAAGTCTAGCATTAATTGTAAGTATTTGTGGGTTATAATAAATATAAGATTTTTATTTAAAGAAAAGAAAGTCAATCACGCAACTTGCCTTCAGCTAGCTTAAAACGGCATGTTGGATTTCGTTGAACCCATTTTAAAAGTGAATTAAAAAATTAATCCACCCTATTTAATAATATTTAAGAAAAATGTGTTTTCTTCTACTTATAAATGTTTAAATTATATTCTCATTTCCTCTTAAATACTATTTTCCTGTCCACTCCTCTTCTCTCTGTCAAGCCAGAGATTCGGTATTCTGGAGGAAGGAAATTGTCTTTATGTGCTACAAACAGTGGTATTGTACGGGATTGTTCACAGATAAAAGAGCTTGAAACCTTTGATTTAATACTATAAATATCTAAGAAGTATGGTTATTTACGAAACATATATAGCACATCATATTTGTGCATTTGAAATCGTTGAACCCATAATTTAGGTTTGGTGAATTGGATTAGAAATGATACAAAAGTATAACGAACAGTCCTTTGCTGTGCCTACAAGGTTTCAAAGCCGGACTACTACGATTTCAATCTTAGCTGCTGCTAAATGTTTGTTATTAGTTGAATTGTAAAGTTTTTCATTCAGATGCATACATCAACTCTGAAATTTTTTTCTTTAAGCTTTAGCAAGACCTCAAATGACAATATGAGGCCGTTTACTGATTTTTGTGCAAATTTATATACATTCAGGTGATCACCTAATCCAAGGGATTGGTAATGGTCTCATTCCTAATGTACTGGATGTTAATCTCCTAGATGAAGTTATCCAGGTAGCTCAAAACTCCTTTCCTTGTGCAAGAGTCTCTCTATCTCTTATCCGAAGTGTAGCTTCTTCTTTTTTTGTGTGAATGGGACTTATGGAGTCATTTATAATAATTTTTCTTTTAATTTTTATACTTAATGCTCCTCAATATGCTAGTTTTATAATGATTGTGTTAAGCTTATTAGATCTCATGCATACTTTCCCGATCTCTCACCACTAAATTGATTTGAGTCATTTCACGATAGAGATACTGATTCTGAACTTATGATTCTTAAAACATGTTTAGATTATAAAAGTATATGAATTGTTATGCGTGAAAAAAAAAGAGAAGCATCACAAAATCCTCTCGACATTGTGCATTTAGAAGTAAAGGAATCACAAACTAGAGCCTTAATTAGGATAAATCTTGGGTGTATTATACAAATTTTCCTATAGACTAAGACAAACAATGCTCTTGAATTAGTACAAGTATGTTACACACATAATGTTTACTCAGCTAGCAACTATTAAAAAACATTTTGTCAAAACTAACATGGTCTAAATTGCAGGTATCAAGTGAAGAAGCCATAGAAACCGCGAAAATGCTTGCTTTAAAAGAAGGTTTGTTGGTATGACAATAATAATTTGTGGCTCTTAGTGATTTCACAGTAGTTTCTATACATATATGTTTGTAAAATACAAACTCCATACTTATCTAATTTCAAGTATTCAAATTATTTGTTTTCATGTTGATTATGTTATTACTTCTTTTGTAGATGGGAATTTCATCAGGTGCCGCAGCAGTTGCTGCCATAAAATTGGGAAAGAGACCGGAAAATGCTGGAAAATTAATCGTTGTAAGTTTCTAATTTTTGACTAGATTGATTTTATTTAATAGGAATTATGAGATGATTATATTAAAAAAATTTACCCTAGAAAAGGATCGGTAGTAAAAGATGTATGTGAAGAAACAGAACAGAGGAGAAGTGGTGATGAGGAGTGAAAGGAGACTTTACCCTGAGAAAGTATGTAAAGGAATTTGGTTTTGAGGTTTACGGGAAATGTGCAATCTCTGAACAACTTTTTCACTTCTAAAAATTAGGGGTTAATCATGAATGAATTGATTCCATTGTGTTGGGTATCAGACTAATTGCACAAGAACTCAACTAAAGTAGAGACGAAAAAAATTGAATAACAATTATAGAAAAAAAAATGGAAATTTTATAATAGGAGAAAAATTGCATACCTCTTCTCTAGTCCCAAAAAAAATAATGAAAATCCTTTCTTGGAAATACAAATAACAATAGAGAGAGAAAAAGGAGAAACCTTTTGGGATGACTCCTAAGGAAGCATTGGGTTCCTTTCATAACATAAAAAAACAAGTCCCTAAACATGTTTTATTCTATGTGGGACTTTTCCCCCTCTCACAATCTCCTACTTGAAGATTTTGATGAAATTAATCAAATCTTCACACTATGATATTCTTTGTCATTCATATTACTTATGCTTCTAATAGGTCGTAACAGGATCGACTTCATATAAACTTGTCAGCATTTACCGGCTTTGTCATGACATCTGCTAGGTTTTTATTAGTGTGAGTCTTTTGTAGATCTACACTCCCTTCATCTACTACTTCTCGAACAAAATGATATTTTATTCCTATGTGTTTTATCATGAAATGAAAGACTAGATTTCTTGCAATGTGCAAGGCACTTTGACTATCACAGTACACAACAATTTACTGCTGCTTCTGTCCAAGTTCTTCCATTATTCTTTTAATCCAGATAGCCTCCTTACATGTTTGGGTGACTGCCATGTATTCAGCTTCTATAGTAGACAGAGCTACAACATTCTGTAACTTGGATAACCAACTTACTGTCCCTCCAACAATGGTAAACACATAACCAATAGTATATTTCCTTTTATCTAGATCACCTGCAAAATCTGAATCAACATAGCTTCTAACAATTGCTTCTGATCCTCCATAACATAATGCAACATTTGAGGTTCCTTTTATATACCTAAGGATCCTCTTAACATAATTCCAATGCTCTCCACCAGGATTCCCCATGTGTCTACTAACCACTCTCACTGTTTGTGCAACGTCCGGTCTTGTACAAATCATGACATACATCAGACTTCCCACCATTGATGCATACAGTACTTGAGACATCTCAATCCTTTTCGCTTCATTGCGAGGACTCATACTTGAGGATAACTTGTAGTAGATAGGAAGTGGGGTAGAAATTGACTTACAATCTTGCATGTTGAAGTGCCGCAAGATCTTGAGTAAGTAATTCTTTTGAGAAATCCAAATCTTCCTATCCTTTCTATCTCGGTGAATCTGCGCCCCTAAAATCTTGTTTGTTGGTCCCAAATCCTTCATATCAAATTTCCTAACCAATTTTGCCTTCAATTCTTGGATTCGTGCTTTGTTGGGGCCTACCACCAACATGTCATCCACATACAACAACAATATGATGAAATCATTCTCTTCAAACTTATTGTAATAAGTACAATGGTCCGAACTCAATATGTTGTAACCGAGGCTAATGATAAAGGAATCAAATCTCTTATACAAATACCTTGGTGCATGCTTTAGACCGTATAAAGATTTGTTCAACTTGCAAATCAAGTTTTTTTGTTCTTCAAAGCCTTCTAGTTGGAGCATATATATTTCTTCTTTAAGTTCTCCATAAAGAAAAACAGTCTTTACATCCAATTGTTCAAGATGTAAATAAAATGTAGCACAAATTGCAAGGACAATTCTAATTATTGACAACCTAACAACTGGTGAGAATATCTCGTTGAAATCAATGCCTTGTTTCTGAGCATATCCATTTACCACCAATCTAGCACCATATCTTTCCACTTGATCATTGTCATCTCTATTGATCTTGTAGACCCATTTGCAACTAATAGTTTTTCGATCCTTTGGAAGTTCCACAATATTCCATGTCTTGTTTCTATGAGGAGCCTTAATTTCTTCTTGCATAGTAGTCATCCATAGGGAAGCTTCTGAACCACTCACGGCCTCTTGAAAAGTTGAAGGTTCTCTTTCTTCACTTAGGAGACAATACACATCATAACTTGTCATCACATATTGTGAATGCCAAGATAGTTTTGCTCTTTCTCTTGTTGATCGTCGGAGTTCTCCATCACCAACCTTATTTGACCCATGTTCTTCGTGCTCCTCCTCTAACTCAGAAAAATCTACCGAAGGCTTCTTCTCTATCTGTACTACAACTTTGTCCTTCTTCAAGCTGTCATTTGTCTTCTCACTTTGCAATTCATTTTTTGCAAAGACTACATCCCTGCTAACAATAACTTTGTAGGAAGTGGGATCTCACAAACGATACCCCTTCAATTGTTAGCATAGTCCAAGAAGATGTATTTCCTGGATTTTGGTTCCAACTTCATTCTTTCTTAGGTGTTGAACATCACGTACACAGGACAACTAAACACATCTAAGGAAGAGTAATCAACTGATTTGCCACTCCATATCTCCATAGGAGTTTTTAGCCCAATCACTGTTGATGATGATTGATTTATCAGGTAACAGGCAGTCTTAACTGCTTCTGCCTAGAAAGACTTGGTTAATTCTATAGTCTGCAACATAGTTCTGGTTCTTTCTAAAAAAGTTTTATTCATCCGCTCTGCTACATCATTCTGTTGAGGCGTATGTGGAATAGAAAATTGTTTGATAATATCTTCTTACTTGCAAAATGCTAGAAAATCTCCATCTATTTATTCTCCTCCGTTGTTTGTCCTTAAGCACTTGATTCTTTTTTCAATTTCAAGATCTACTTGCACTTTAAATTCTTTGAACCGGTCAAACACCTCAAACTTCTTCTTGATAGGGTACACCCATAATCTCCTAGAGTAATCATCGATAAATGATACAAAGTATTTTGCTCCTCCGAGGGACAATTCTAGTGATTCTCACACATCAGAATGGATCAAGTTCAATCTCTGCTTACTTCGTGTAGTCGTTCTAACAAACTTCAATTTGTGTTGCTTACTTGTCACACAGTGCTCGCAGAAGGGTAAATAAACCTTCTTGAGCCCCGGTAAGAGATCACATTCCGCAAGAATTTGCAGATCTCACTCTGACATATGCCCAAGTCTACGATGCCACATTGTCATCTTTTCTTCTTGATTTGTCGATGCAGTTGTTGCATTAGCTTCTTACAAGGTTTCTCCCATAAGCATATACAGATTTGTTATGATCTTCTCTGCTTTTATGACTACCAAATTTCCCCTCACAGCCTTCAAGATCTCATCTTCAACATGAATCTTGCATCCAAGGTCATCTAATTGCCCTATAGACAAAATATTTTTCTTCAAGTCCTTCACATGTTGTACCCCTTGAATTGTGCGAATAGTACCGTCATACATTTTTAATTTAACTGTACAAACTCCAGCAATCTCCAAAGCATGGTCATTTTCCATGAACACGAATCCACTTGAGATTGACTCATACTTTTGAAATCAGTCTTAGTGTAGATCATGTGTCATGTTGCACCTAAATCCATTATCCACTTATCATGAAATCTACTTTCACCATTTGAACTGATCGTTGTTTCGCTCACCAGAATTTCTCCTTCTTCAGAGGTATTTGCAACGCAATTTTGTGAGGTTGGTTCTCCATTCATCATCTTCCAACACTCTTTCTTTGTGTGCCCTTTCTTGCCACAATGGTAGCATTTGAATTTGAAATTCTTCTTATTTCGAGAGCTCGATCTACCATGATTTTGACTCCCACTGGAGTCACATTCCATTGATCTTCCTCTCATCGTCGTTAAAGCTTCTACTTGTTTGGAACTTTCTACCTTATTATTTCGCCTGGATTCTTCTTCTAGAGTAGCTCCGGCAACATTCTCAAAGCGTAGATGTCCTTTAATATTATTATTTGTTATGTTAATGATGAGTTGACCATACAAGTCTGGTAGTCTCTAAAGTAGATGTTTCGCACGCTCATTTTCAACTATGTTGAAATCTGTTGCTGATAGTTTGACAAATAAGGTGTTCAAGTGGTTGATGTGGTCTGTCATCGATGTGGACTCACTCATCCAAAGAATGTAGAGTTTTTGCTTAAAGAATATTTTTGTGTGAAGAGACTTCACCTCATATAATTTGATGAGTGCATCCCAAATCTCTTTTGCTGTATTTTTCTCCGCAACACTGGATAGTACAGAATTTGTCATTTCTAGGTGCTAATTCGTGATAGTATTGCCGTCAATTTTCTTCCACTTCTGATTCATCATTTCTGCGAGTCTTCCTTCAATTGCATCTAAGCAATTGCTCTTTCTCAAAATTGCCTTCATCTTTAATTTTCATAACGAAACATTTTTCCCTTTGAACTTCTTTATTTCGTACTTTGCTGTCATGGTTATATACTGACTTATGCAACTATCACTTATAAATAGTTTTGTCTACTGGAACAATAATAGTATACTGTGAACCAGTACACCAGGTAAATTCGCAGGAAAGAGAGGTGGGTCACCTTTTCCAGTAACAACTCTTTTCTGATGTGGAAGATCATATTAAACTGCAACCACAAAGCATACTTAAAATTCTACCAACACTATTCTAGTGACTAGCGCAACAAAATAAGAACGTGTCTCTAATGCCACTGTTGGACATCAGACTAATTGCACAAGAACTCAACTCATATAATTTGATGAGGGCATCCCAAATCTCTTATACTGTATTTTTCTCCGCAACACTGGATAGTACGGAATCTGTCATTGTTAGGTGCAAATTCATGATAGCGTTGCCGTCAATTTCCTTCCACTTCTAATCTGTCATTTCTGCGGGTCTTCCTTCAATTGCATCTAAGCAATTATCCTTTCTCAAAATTGCCTTCATCTTTAATTTTCATAGCGAGACATTTTTCCCATTGAACTTTTCTATCTCGTACTTTGCTGTCATGGTTATATACTGACTTATGCAACTCTCACTTATGAATAGTATTGTCTATTGGAATAATAGTAGTAGACC